AGTCTTACACTGACTGAGTAAGTCAGAGTTAAAGTGATTCAGCATTATAGCATCTGTAAAAGCTTGTTTCAATTCTGTAAACATCTGCACAGTGCCTTGAATAAGAATAAACAGTCTCATTTTCCTGTCTTTCACACTTCTCTTTAACAGATCTGTAAGAGGGGCAGTAATCTGTGAATATATATAGATAAATCATCTGTAGAAATTCACAAATTCTAGAAACACCTACACCTCGCGGTACATCTGTGGCACTGACCAGTTCTCAATGATGAAGACTTAACTTCTGTTCATTGAAATGTCATTCATCTCAACAATATAATCTAAGAAATCAATCTCCTGCATGTAGAATGAGCATTTTTCAGTGTTTGCATAGAGTTAATACTGTCTCAAGCAACTCAACACTTCTTGAACATGAGTATCATGTTCTTTCTTCATTTTTAAGAAGATTAGAATGTCATTCAAGTATACTATACAGGAGATGTCAACAAGGCCCTGCAGCATCTCATTTATATAGGTCTAGAAGATGACTGAAGCATTACAGAGATTAAAAGGCAAAACAAGATATTCAAAATTGTCATACTTGATATAAAAGATCATTTTTCAAACATCATCTTCATTAATTCTGATTCTATGATAGATATCTTATATATCAATCTTTGAGAACATCTTTGCTTCAGATAATTGATCAATCATCTCATCAATCAACAGTAATGAATAGTAATTCTTAACTATTATCTTGTTAAGGCCTCTGTAGTCTATACATAGACATAGTCTATCATTCTTCTTGAGTACAAAGAGTATAGACATCTCTGCTGAACTCTTTGATAAATATATTCAGTTCTTTAATTGTACTTCTTCAAGATATTTATACAGAATATTCAACTTCTTTACAGATAAGTTATAAAGAGATCTGTACAGTGCTGTTGCACTGTCTTCAAGACAAATCTTATATTATATCTTGATATCAGGAAACTTCACTGCTTCTCTTTTTAAAAAGACATTCTTAAAATCTGTAAAGAGACATCATGTATATTCATCTTCAATGACAGATACTGCTGCTAATCTTACAGTGAGAGTGATGACTTCTTCACCTGTTTTCAAGTCTCAATCACCTGCTACACAGTATATTGACTCAATTCTTTTCTCAAGATTCTTCTGATGAAACTCTTCAGATTCCTCTATCACTATCTCTTCATCAGTGAGATAATACTGCCATATCTGAGTAACTCAGTCAATGAGAGAATTGTTTTCTCTCAATTATAAGAGATCTAGAATGACATTCTTATCTATAATATTGACTGTATAAAGAAGCAGACTGCTCTTCTTGAAGATTTCTTCAGAGTCTGTGATCACACACTTCACTTGAATTATGCTAAAACAGTGATATTTCATTTCATCAGTAAATTTCATATAATCTGATGAATCTATCTTCTTTCAACTCTTCATCAAAGAAAAGAAATAGAATATGAAGTTAGTATTCATCTCAGAGTCAAGTAGACATCTCACTGATATCTTCTCATTCAGAGTACATATTATGATTATAATATGAACTCAGAGATATGAGAATTGTCAATTCTTCTCTTTCTCTTCTTTATCTTTCACAGATACATTTGTCAGAAGAGAAGTCAACTTTGAGAAGATATCTTCTCAGTTTCTTCTCTTCTTCAGCTTCTTACAATCACTGACATAGTGATTATCAGCTTCACAGTTGAAACAGAGATCTTTGTCAAATCTTTTTTAACATTTCTTTGCAGTGAGTGAAGAATTAGAATACTTGAAATTCTTCTTTACTTTCTTCATACTGAAGCTGTTATAACACTGTTTAGATCTTATCATTGATTACTTAGAAGAGGTCTTATTAGTCTTTTTCTCAGAGAATTGATTATTCAAATAGATCTGAGAAGTCAGATTGACAAGCTCAGTGCAATTAATTAATGAACTCTGATATTATAATATTATTATCTACACCTTGTGAGTCAGCTTCATGAGATAAAGCTGTGTTTTTAATTGATTCAAATCATCAGTCAGTTTCTTTCAATATTCTTCAAATCTTGTATTGAAATTGAAAGAATTTTTATTATTCTATTAATATAATGAGTTGAATCACTGTATCACTGTGAAGCTGCAGTTACAGTGATCTTTGATTTAATTCAGTAAAAAGTTCTTGAATTCTTCTCAAGTTATAGCAGTATTGATACACTCAAGCTCTCTTTTCTTAATAGCTCAAGTAGTTGCAGAGATGCCTTCAAGAAGATTAACAGTGTATATTACTTATATCTTATAAGTATTATACTGACTCAGATTAAGGTGAAATTTTCATTCAAGAGTACAGATAAAGCTGTGAAATTCAGATAAGATGTTTCTCTTATATCTTGATAAATCTCTGACCTTAATCTCTCTATCTTTATAATAGATGTAGATGTGTAGAGGCTGCAGTGATAATAGAGCAGTTGAAGAGCTTATGTTAAAATATACAGCAGGTTCAGAAATCTCAGATTTCTGCTGAGATAAAGATGTACACACTCTAGAGAATGATATAGTGTTTCTCTCAGAGAGTGAGGTCAGATCAGTCTCAGCACAGATATATGAGACTATATCAGTCTGTTAGAGCTCAACTGATTCAAATATATAATCAGATTAAGTAATTTGAATTGTAATATAATGAAATCAAAGCAGTAACTAGTCAGCAGTATTATATAGAAATAGTTGTTTTAAGAAGTTATATAAGTGAGCTTGACTATCTTGCTTGAATAGTGAGCTTGTAGACTACAGAGTTATTGCAAGAATATCACAGATATGATACTTAGTATACTAAGAAAATTGTATGAGACACACAGTAACTCTTATATATATTTCAGTAGAAGTAAAATGAATCACTGACTTCTTTGATGAGAAGCCAGCATCTAGCTATTCTATATAGATAATGAGTGAATACTCTTCTCTTATTTCATGAGCAAGAATAGTCAAAGTGATACCTTAGCAGTATCTCATTATCAAGAAAGAGTAATCTGCTGACCTCATATAAAAGCAGGGTTCTTATATTCATCAATCAGATCTTTCTATGATACATCTGAATGATATTATAGAGTAGTTGAAAACCGGTTCAGACAGGATGAAATCATCTGCATGAAAGTGATGAGCCGTGTGAAACCGCAATGAGGCCTTGGCACGGCTGAGAGCGTGACAACACTCTCTCTTTTATTATTATTATTATTAGTATTACTATTATTATTATCATCATTACTATTATTACTATTATCATCATTAGTATCATTATTATTATTATTATTATTATTATTATTATATTATTTCTAATTATCTCTTCTATCTTTATCTCTCTTTAATACTTACTGAAATTAATTATATTATCTCTCTTCAAATATTCTGTGATTCTGTAGATTATTAAGACGCGTGAGTACTGTTACAGATTAAAGAAAGAGAAGAAGATGTTTAAGTAAGAGAAGACAGATTGTAAAATATATTATAATATCTTAAAGAGACTCTGTAAGAGAGTAGAATGATAATAATTTTAAGTAATACTTTTAATAGATTTAGACTAAGTATAGAAATAATGTGAATAATACTATCTATAAGAGATTGAAAAAGAAGATAATGAAGAGTCTAATATAATAGTAGTAAGATTAGAAGAAGTTCTGAGAATGATTTAAGATTAAGATAAAGAGAGAAAGAGAGAAGAAGAGTATTACTATAAATAAGTAATAGTAGAAGAAGATTAAGAGAGTATTAAAGTAAGAGATAAAGAAGTTAAAACTAATAAGTTTTTTATTTATTAAGAGATAATAATTTTTAATAATACTTCTATTTACTAATTAATTAACAGAAGCTGATAGAGAAGAAGAGAATTAAAATCTTATTCAGATCTTAAATACACTTTATAATTCAGAATATTGAGAAGATAGCTCTACTCTCTAAGTATATTAATCTGCTTATCACTGAAGTGAAACCTGAGACAGCAGATCAGAAAATGTGAGATTTTGAAACACAGATTAATCTGACTGAGAGAAAGCAGTGAGAACTCTTCTCTGAAAAGATAGTAGAGAGAGATTTTAAGATGATTATCATCTCAGATAAGAAGAAGAAGAAGAAGAATAAGAATAAGAAGTAAATTACAAAGAATAATAAGAAGAATAAGAAAGAGAAGAAAGATAATAAGTAGAAAAAGTTTTTTTCTTTTTATATTAATTAGTTATAAGTTCATAATTTTTAATAATTGAAATTAATTTTAAGTTTTCAAAAATTATTATACAAGTTGTAATCAATATCAGAAATAATATATATATATATATTTAACTATCATGATTTATAAATTATTATAATGTATAAGTATTAATATTTTTTCAATATTGATATTTATAATATTAATATATTTTTAATAATATTATCTGATAATGTAATTTAATAACACTCTCTTTTACAATATTAATATATTTCAAGAAATATGATAGAGATTAATCAAGATTATTTATTTACTTTTATATATTAATAATATTCAATCTGAGTTAGTACTAAAATTATAACTAAGCTAAGAAAGAAGATTATTTTCTCTTATAATAATTCTTCTTATATATATCAGTAATCAGTTATTATCTTTATTAAAAATAAATTATTATTTTTCTTAAATCTTTATTATATCTTCTGAATTCACTTCTTTCACTTCTTTCACTTCTATTAAAGATTTATAAACTCTTCAAGAAATGACTATTCTACATATTTTTATTCAGTCTCTTTATAAATATTATTATTCAGGTCTTATTTCAGAGCTCTGTTTCAATAGATCTTAATTCATATTATAATTTTATAAAGCACTGTAAGTAGTCTTTATCAGATTTCTTATCTCTTTTTCTATTATTACTGATTATGATTCATATGTTCTCTATTCAGCTTACAGAGTTTCTTAACTTATTCTCTAAATAGGTCTTGAGAACTGATTAGTGAGATCTCTCATAATTATTCTCTAGATAATTCAGTTAATTCTTGACTTCAGTATAGTAGAGATCTGTTATTGTGTAGATGACAGCTTCTTTATCTTTCATATCACACAGTCTGACTTATGAGTCAATTTCAAAGATAAACTTATAAAAGCTTTTATAGATTGTGATTCAGTAGCTGGCCTTAAGTGATCACAGCTCAAGAAAGTTTCTTTTCAGTTTATAAGTATAACTCCCTACACGTTTTGTTGGACATTAATAGTCGTATCACACTAGAAGAAGTTCAATAGAAGAATGAAAAGAAAATGAGAATGAAAAGAAAAATAAAATAGTAAAAATGAAAGCGGAAGGTTTTAAATTAAACAGTAGAACCAATATAACGAGGCGGAGGGAAATAATAGGGGTAAAATAAATGATATCAAAATGGAGAGTGAAGACAAAAAGCCGAACAATCCAACTTTCCAATATTGTTCATATATCACCGGAGAACAAAAGTCAAATCTTCAGCATTGGTATCACGGCGAAACCTGACGTTCTCATCGCTCGAAGTTCCGGCGGACTCACCAAATCCACCACTGTATCTCAAAGCTGCGATGACGATATCAAGCGTTGAAGGTCGAGAATGCATAAATAACGGCCTGGCCAATGTCCGGCCCAAAACAAAGATGCATCCAACTATGGCCATTGCCACGCCTAGTTTACTTGATTGAGAATCGGTTCCATACCCCCAGACACGGAACTTTTTAAGCGAGGTGAGTTGAGGATGTCGCTCCATATAGGTGCCGGACTCTCCCAGCTCAGTGGCATTGACTAGTGTATGGCCAATGAGAGACAGAGCATGGTTGTAAATGAGCCTATGCTGGTCCAAGACAACATTCGTAGCCTTTCTGAAGGGTGGGATATCCTCGCGTGTCTCAGGTAGAGGAATGCTAGCGAGGGATTTGACACTGGCTACCAAATTGGATGCTGCGAGGCGATTGCCATCCACTGTGCCGGATCTTGACACTGACCAAGCGGCAAGCATCCAGTCAGAGTGCAGGAATATGCTCTTTGGCGGTTTGCCTTGGGGAACAACCAGTTTGACGATGGTGTTGTTGATTTCCAGGGGCGTTAGCGTCATTGTATAGGAAGGGAACGTAAGGTGGGAATTTGTTTGACACACTACGGTAGAGTTTGGCGTGACCATGTTTGTAGGGGTATATTCAACAAATTGTATATTCAAGTGGAGAGCTGCTTGTCTTGGGTTTCGAACAATAAGGGACGATATTCGATCCCAGTCACAGCTATCACTGATTTCACGATCCACAATACAGTGCTCCTTCTCTGGAGGGATTCCAAAGGACCTCCCCACTGAATACATATTCACAGAAATGTTTCTACCTGATGTTGTGTCTGTTTCTCGGATTGAAAAGTTTGAATGGGCAACTCTAGCGTCCTTCCAAGGAGATCCAAGGCGGATGCACTCATAATAATAACCGGGTTGGCTCCGGGAAGTTGTATTATAGCAATGGACCGACTTGGTACTGGATAGTTCTATGTCGATGATACTAGCTGTGGTGCAAAAGCCCTTGGTTCCAAGGCTAGGGCCTTCACGGTGCACTTCAATGTCCAGGGTATTCCGATAGTAATTGAAGAGATCAAAATCAAGATCGCGATCGGGCAGAGCACGTTTCGCCTCCTCAAAGGTATTTTTGGATTTTGAATTAAAAATCTCCATGTAATCAAGACTCATCTCTCGCAGGATCTGTCGACTTGGCACCCATACATGGTGGATGTCTCCCCATGTCGACGAATTATAGGAGAAGGCCACATTACCATCCGCGAGGATCGGTTCCAGCACTGTAGAACCATTATCCCAGAGTGAGCGGCGCCATTGCAATCCCGCCGACATTTCGTCCACACTTGAAGAATAGTAATCAGTGCAAGTAAAATTACCTGCTATCAAGGCCGCCTCTTCACAGCTGCGGAGGTTGCTAATACGTTTTGGAGGATCAGATGCAAGCATCACCCCGAAAGCCCCCTCCATAGGTGAGTTGACTTCTGCCCACCCAAGGGAAGGGATAACGAGGACCGCAACTGCAGGCCCCATCAGATTGCACGTTATGCAAAGGAGTAGAGCCAGGAAAGCGAAAAACCAAAGAGAAGCTTTTGATTTTCGATGAGAGACAGATGAAGCCAGGTTCTTAGGAGTTCTAATCGATTTCCAGAACGTAAAACTGAAAGGGCTCATGACATTGGCAAATTCCATGTACGTCAGGAAATAGCCCACTGGAAGGCCACGGCGCCGGAGTAGCAGCATCGAGAAATCCAAGACAAGGCTGCCGGCACAAACTGTGAACCAGACCTCAAGAGCTTTGGCAACCAGCTGTAAGAATCCCAACACCTCATGATCCTTGTTGTCCAATGCAACGGTATGTTCTTGGAGATTCCGCCAAAGATTGCAGTGATCTTTGTAGCCCGGGATAGCACAGGAAACGCTTGCTCCGATAACATACTCCGTGAAATTTAACCAGAGCGAGGCGATAATCGGCACCAGCCATGCGAAACAGAAAATATCGAAAATCACGTTGTGCAGGGTAGTGGATTTGTACCAAGGTGTTCGAGTCTGGACATCCTCTCGGCTCGCATCTGGCGCATTCTCTTCTCCCCCGATTTCGCTCAGCGATTTCGGTATATCGGATGAAGTATTGTTATTCTTACCATGTCCGAAGTGGCCGTTAAGGTCCATACTCTCTGGAGATACACGCCGATATTGAGGAGGGACAGTCAAGCATGAAGCGTTGGTATGGAGAGAAGGGCATAAAACACGCAAGATGCACCAGAAATATCAAAGACGTATATTATTAGCCTTCTCGCCGGCCGCTTTTCGGAAATTGCAGCGTAAGCATCCTCTCACGGCTTCATCAAAATTAAAAACGGATCCAAGGGCAGAGTTGGGTGATATTAAGCCTCAAAAAGTCAAGGCTTCTCCTCCATCATGAGCGTCGAACGGGTGCAGGAAACAACAAATCATTGACTCTAGTAGGAATATCAATCCCTTGCTGTGTCGATGCCGTAGTCGAGTGGTGCCGATCCAAGCATCACGGTAAGCAGTCAGAAGAAATCGGAACGGCATATGTAGCTTTTCATCAATAGGAATATTGATGGGGTTAAAGCTTGAAAACATGACCGCTGCCTGGTGTGACACGCGGGGGAGAACATGCATGGGTTCTCGTTTTCCAGTACTCTTGCTGGATTTACCTTTATTTGATAAGTTACCGGTAAACACAATGAAAAACTCTGCAAAAGATCACCAACCCTCGAGACGGGAGGAGGAGGGCTTGAGGGGAAATAGTGCGAACACAGCGAATCGACGAAGGTCGTGGAAGACGACTGCTGCCATAAATTCAGCGATAGTGCTTCAAGCAAGTCAACTAAAACTTGAGTTAAATATAACTAATAACTTTGTCAACAAAATCTCGTTGGCACAATTTTTGTCTTCGTTACAGCTTTCTGGTCATGGATGTCAGAACTTCTGCCATTCAAACATAGCCATACACAGAGTGACAGCTCACGCATTTTTCAGTGCCCCATTTTTGCGTGCAGGTGAAGATTCGCTTCAAATGGCAGATCTGCAGAAGATAAATATGAGTGAGTGGAAGGTGATGTAAATAACCGGAAGAATTCATCTGCCCTTGCTCAACCTTTCAACCAATCCACATCATTCCTCCACAAAAAAAAAAAAAAATATGGTCAAACCAGCAACTACAAGCAGCGACTAATTTTTGCTCGTTGAAAATGTGTCTATCTTGGAAAACTTAAACTCATCACAGGCTGAAAATTCGCTTTTTAAGCAAATGTGCGTGTGAGACCGTCGTCCTGAGCCGTTTTTCAGCATCTCAGGCCGACAGTGCATCCAGCAGGACGATAGTTACTCCTGAGATAGAATGATCGCCAACCTTAGAGAGGTTTAACTATGAGCTATCCGGTCTCTAATGCAGGTCATATTTTGATAATGAACTATAACGCAAGGCTTTTGCAGGCCCCAGTTGTACTTTTTCATGCCAATGGACAACAGAATATCACTTCGGGCACTGAGGGGCTTATTCTGGCAACATGCCCCGGGATGAAGATACATAAGTCGGGGCCAATATCTTCTTCAATCGAATTTATATTCACCTCCTTCTTGAAGCTGATAATCCCGATCATCTCCCTGCCAGCCATGATGTTGTTCAGAACTACCTTTCTTTCACTCAGCCTGTGGACTCTCTGTGTGCTGGCGCAATCGCTGCAGCAGGCTCTTCGTGACAATGGACATATTCGATTTGCCGACTTTCTTGCAAGTGATCCTCCATTTGAATTAGATCCGACTGCATCTTCCGCTTTCATCCTCGCTCCGATAGATGCTGCCTTTGATGATCAACCAAACGGCATCCTGGGTCGCAGGGCCGCCTTACAGAAGGATTCAGCGGAATACTACACCGGTGAGAACGGAAACGCGAGACGGGGCTTGTTAACACCTGATGAGACGGTGGTCGAAACATTCTTTACGAACCCTCAATACGTGAATCTCAACGGCCGTGGTCAAGTCTTTATCAGGCAACCAACGCTGCTGGGATTATTCGAAAGGATATCCAGCGGCCTTCAAGAGAGCGTTAACATTGTGTCGGGCGATATTCCATTTGACCAGGGAACGATCCGCGCTATTGATGGGTAAGAAACACACAGAGCGACTAAATATGCAAACAGTGCGAAATCCATGCTGACAGTGTCAAAAAAGCTTTCTCACGGTGCCCGAAAGCATATCCACAACTATCGCCAAGATAGGATTTGGGCCCTTCACAGAATTCCTCGAGAGTACCGGCATTCTCAGTATGATCAATGGCATGCCAACCCTCACCCTTCTAATCCCCACAAATTTTGCTCCTCCGTCCCCTGACCAGTTTGATGAGTTCATACAAATAATGCAACAACATGTTCTCATCGATTTCCCGGGGTACACCTCGATGCTCGAGGATGGACAGTCATATCGCACGCTTGCTGGCCCTGGGAAGGATGTCACTGTCCAAATTAGGGGAGACTCCTACTTTATCAATGGTGCTCGAATTGTCCAAGCAAACATAATTGTCGGCAATGGGGCTATCCATGTGCTCGATAGGGTATGAATATTCCCGCTTCGCGTCTATCACATATACTCTTGACTAACATTGACGAATACAGATGGTGAACGCACCCCCGGGCCAATTGCCGCTATCATAGCCCAGCTTAGACCAACCCCCTTACTATTAATATATCCTTTTTCATTCACATTTTCATTGGATCCATTTTCCGAGGTTATAATGGTTGCACCAGCTGAATGGGAAATGGTAGCTGTGTTTAATGAAGTTTACAACATAGTGAAAAGCTACCTTGTTTTTTTGTTCCTTTCCTTGTGGCTCCCTCACGCTTCCTTTATTATGCACAATTTCATGCCTAATCGATGGAATAGACATCATTAACAAGCTTCTTACTGCGTTGAACTCTGATATGCCCCTTCTAGAGTGGGCCGTCTTTCATATAGCCTAACATATAAGCTTAAATCTTAGCCCCCGGGCCAGAAACTGATGCGCCCGGCCACCTCCGCAAATAACTTAAGAGCACCAATCTACAGGATTTTACCCAAACAAGTGTGAGAATGTAGCCAATATTTACTGCACAATTTTAGTCTCGTGGAGAAGATCGCATGGAAGGATTTCAGCAAGGATAAAACTCATGAAAGCGTCTCATAAATGGTGCATTACATGTGCCGGTATGAATAGTTACCTAGGTACCCTCACATGGATAGATTCAAAAAAAATCAGATGTCCTGACCATACCCAACAAACCAATGGAGGAAAAACAGGCTCACATGAATACAACTCTTCGAAGATATCACTGGTTATGGCTAGCTTGCGTCTCAACAACAGGAATCCAAAGCACCATATGTACAGTACACACGTAGCAGAAGTATTTCTAACTGGAAGTGTACCCGTTCACACAGATACAAATTACACAAATTTCCTTGGATCCAGCCTCGCGATACTGGCACTCTTCGCCTCTCCCTCAAACACAAACTCGCTTATCAGCTTCCCGGTTCCAGGGGCATTCTGGATCCCCCAACAGGTATGGCCTGTGGCCATGAAAAGCCCCTTAATTCCCACATGTCCGATCAATGGACCAGCGCGTGCTATCTCTACGTTCGGCAGATAGCAGGCTTGTCTGGTAATTACATCCCCCTCCCGAAGAGCCTTGGACACACTCCCGATGGAGTCGATGATATCCTGGCACCGGGCCGGGTCAACCTCGACGTCTGCAGTTGTGTCGGGCAAAGGCACGAGGGTATCTCCCTCGCCACATGCATAAACAGTATCATCTGGTCTAGCATAGATCTCAGGAGAAACTACTCTTGGTCGTACTTTCCCTTTCCCCGCACCCGACAAAGACCCGAATCCAGCGGGCAGCGCAAGCTCTGTAAATAGCGTGTACGCGGATACGGGCCGTGTAGGACGGACAACGACACTGTGTGCTCGTAGGGCGGATATGGGCGCACGGGGGAAAATGTTCCGTGTCCATGGCCCAGCAGCAATAACCACATCCGTTGCCGGGATGCTATGCGAAGCACCCGTTTCCTTCTCCGTATAAGTCACAGATTGAACAGCATCCTTCGAGTGCTTAATATTCGTGACCTGGCCAAGAACAACCCTTGCGCCCTTATCTTCCGCCAGTTGTGCCATGGAGGTAGTGAACAGGTACGGGTGTACCTGCGCCGTCTCCCCAGAGCCGCTCATTTCTTCATAACTCTTCAACGCCTCCGCATCAAACCAGTCCAAATCCCTTGGGAAACCCGCGGATTTCAACTCCTTCATCGCCTCCTCACCCCTTTTTTGCAACGAAACCGCTGCACCAGGATCTTGCGGAGCTTCCGCAGAGTTATTGTCACCAGGCTTGTTCACCGTCCACGGGCGGCCCTGCGCGGCAAGCTGCCCGCAATTCACCTCCCGATAGCCCCACCGCTCCTTGCCATTATGTTCCCGTGCCAGCTCAGCGTGCAACCTGTAACTGAGCGGCACTATGCTGCTCGGAAAAGCCCATAGCGCAAGAAGTCCACCTGCCTTGCCAGAGGCGCCACCTGCGATCTCCGTCGCTTCGAGGATTGTAATCTTGTGTCGGGATGGGTCGTATGAGGGATGTCTTGTTAGGAAGTAGGCTGCTGAACAGCCGATTATCCCTCCGCCTATGTAGTAGCCATATCACTCGTGGTTAGTTTATTCTTGTTGTGGTTTCGTGGGGCGATTGAGTCGTGGTCGCCGCGCGCCACATCCAAGAATTGGGGTGCGGGGAGCTGAGGGGAAGAGGGACGGTAAGTTAATAGTACCTATCACAACGATATGCCGCTCCTGGCTTGTCATAATACTGCGGGATGTTATTCGGATGGCCTATTAACTATTAACAGAATTGGTGGTAAGCTGTAGAGTGTGCCCTGCTTCTCAAGGTGGGCTTGGTCGAGGCCACACCTTACGTTAGAATGCGGAGCTGTAACTAGTTGACACTTTGAACTGGTGAATGTTGACGAGCCAGGTGGAGAATAATAATCCCAGGGTAGCCAGCCCCCAGAGATAAAAGCCTGAGTCTACAATCTTGGTTGCTAGTCTTTGCCTACAGTTATCTCCAATGGTACGAAAATAAGGAGTGAAAATAGAACAGAAGCAAGTTTAGATGCTACAGAAAAATATATGCCAGGAATCAATCCATCAACGCCCAACCCAAGATGGTACACGTGCATGAACAATTACTCAGATAAACACATAAATGGACCTAGCGCAGGAAAACAAAGGGATAAAATTGGTATGAGCTCGCTCGAAACGCTCTGTAAGACGTAAAATATAAAAAGAGGATCAAAATCACCCCAAAGAAGAAAGGAAGGAAATGAGTTGACAGAAGCTCCAGTTCAGCGTGTCGGACTCAATGGTCTGTTAAATCCTCCTTGCCGGTTCATGTACTGTCTGTACTGGGTCTTCTTCTCCTTGCGCACGCCATAGATATTGTTTCCAGGTACTTTAGTGTTCTGAGTAGTCCGGAATGACGAGAACCCCATCGTCTTCCGAATCAACTGGTCCAACTCATCGCCATCTGCACCATCAATATCCATGGCCATGCTGTCGGGCATAGGCTGGGTCTGGGGCTTTGTTGAACCATGCCGTCTCGATTCAGAAGTCCCATTCACCCTCCCCGATTCCCGGACAGCATCTCGACGGTCAGTTCTCGCGCCCCGCTGCCGTGGAGGTGACCGTGACCGTCGAGGTCGCGTCGATGTAGTACCATTTCGTGTAGGTGAGAGTGCTGGGGAAAGGGATCGGGTCCATGACCTATCACGACCACGTTCGCGGTATCGAGCCGATTTCCCATGATCTCCTACATATAACATCAGTACACATATTCAATATTTTCAGCATGAACATCAGGACAGAGAAAAAATGAACCAACCCCGTCTGGTATATCTGTCCCTACTTCCGCTCCTATCTCTATCCCTCCGCCCAGCCCTATCCCTATCTCTATCCCTATCCCTTCTTTCCCTGGACCTGGACCTGGACCTGGACCTGCTCCGATCTCTCCGATCTCTCGATCTACTCCGGTCACGTCTCCGGCCATCCCTATCTCTAGAGCGAGACCGTTGTCTACGCTCATCTCTCAGTGCGTTGCTCCGTTTAATATCGTCCCTGGTCGACCCCGCGTCTCGTCTGGATATGCCGCCATCTACCTCATTGCTATCATGGTCGCCCGCGACAGATTTCGAGTCATTCATCTCCCACATGGTCGAGCTGTCTGTCCTCCTCGCGCGTTTGGCTGGAGGTTCAACCATTGTCATTGTAATATTTTCGTTGAAGGGCTACCAGGGTGGACGTTTGGAGAGAGATATCGGGAGGCGAAATGCGCGTCGTGTCAAATAGTGCCGGGTACTAATAGTATAGTATGACTTTGTTCCTGCGAATTTATTCGTGTAAAAGGGAAAGGAGTTCAATCGTAGCCTACTTCGTTGTCCCGCTTAAAAAAAGAAAAAAGAAATTGACTGGTGGTGCTTCGATGTCAAGAGGTTTAACTTATTTACTGAATTAATAGTTACGGTCGCCGGTTCCTGCCGCGGATGCTTGCCGCGTCAACTTCAATTCGGACATCAAAATCCCGCAAAACGAGCATGAAATAAGAAGATCAGCGAAAGAGACGTCAGCCTTAAAAGAGAAAATCGAATTTGTTTGGAATATTTGATCTATATTAATCATGCCACCTACAAGTGTTTCCCATCGCCGTACGCATAATTTGCTATTAATATCCAAGCTACTTGGTGTGCGCAACTCCGCCTCGCCATTAACTCTCCTCCTAGACTCTCTAGAGCAGCCAGCTACCCCTTTGATCAGGGAATATATCAGAAGAGCAAAGGTAATATTTAAAATCTTAGTCTGCTTTACTTTGCTGTGGTTTGCTTTGATTTTAATTTAATGCTGTGTGTTACGGTTGATTTCTCCGTAAACCTTTAATAATTGTTTCAAGTTCCCCGCCGTCAATCAAGCATATATATAATACTTCATCCTGAATTCGCTATCATGTTGGATATCTAATTCCCCATAACATATCCCCCCATTGATAATTATGTATAAATTTTTGTTTCCACTGGAAGGAGGTTTCAGTGAGCGTCCCAGCTGACAGTCCTGTTTTAACAGCTATCAAAAATCCATATTATATTTGTCTCCTTCGAGACACTGACCCGCCCAGATGGCGTTGATACATTTATCCCGACCCGGCGGAAAAGCCTGGCAGCTATTGCGAAAGAAGTGATCTCGGCTATATCGTCGCCACTTTCACCACATCCGTCAGGTCCTATTCCAAGAAGTATGTCGTTCGCTTTCCCCCTGGTTCAAACGAATGACTGTGACAGGGGAAGCCATGACTCACAGCACACCATATAGGATCCCTTGTAATTATCGATTCAGTTAATCTAATGATGTCTCGCAAACACGTCGAAGACCAGGAAATGAACCTCGCAGCGTATCTAAGCTCATTCCTAGGGCCACCCCCAACCAGCCCACAGAGCCAACATTCTACATCTCTAATTGCCATATACCATCAAGATATACCCACGTGCCCACAGAAGCAGGTACCGTACGCCCCATCCCCATTATCTCTCCTAACATACCTCGCCACAACAATCCTCACCGTCCACTGCATGAGCCATATCCTTGCCGAAAAGGTAGCGAGGGATAGGAGCCTAATGGCCCCTATCTTCGGTTTAGCGGAAGAAGCAGATGGCGTCATCATCGGCCGCCGCACTAGTCATAGCAAGAGCACCGATGATGATAGCAAAGGCCTCGTTATTGAAATGGAACATAGACGCAAGAGCGGCAGGGGTATTGTGGAGTGGTACTATCTCCCTCCTGCGGCGAAGATTCATCGGCAGCAGGTTAAAGAAGTAGTGATTTTGCTCGACGACCATCCGCTGTATAGACGAGAGGAGGAGCAGGGCGTTGAGAAGGAGGGGTGGGAGCCGGAGTCGACGTTTGAGTTGGGCTTGACGGAGCGGCAAAGGCTGGAGAGGGAAGGAGTTGTGTTGCCTTATTTCGATGCGCAGAAAGGAGATGGGCCTGGTGAAGGGGGTAGGATCCTCTATGATATGGGTGAGGAGGATGATTTCGATGAAGAGGAGGATGAGATTTGAATTGTCGCTTTACATCGTGGAGGTGGGGAGTATTAGTCGTCTTGCTAAAGCGGGGGAGTAGAAGACAATTGCTACAGAGCCAATGTGTAGGGTGGAACGCTTTGGAACTTCTGCCTGAGCGTCTGCGGGTAAAGGTTGCTGCGATAGGATGCTGAACATAGTTACCGCGAGCCTCATGATCCATTTGGTACCAAGCTTGACGATTTCAAAAAGGATGTCAGAGCTAGTACGAATGGCACGAAAAAGGATAGTGGGGGTGTGTGGAGATCTGATCAAGCTGAAAGAAAGGTCGAGAAGAAAGAAACGATATCATTATTAAAACAAAGCGCTATTTAAAAAAACCGCCAGCAGATTAAAACAAACAAAATGAAACCCACTGCCGCAAAGGGTCCATACTACAATAAAGACAATATCAAAATTAGCAACACCTTCTGCGATTACTTTTATTCATGTTTGACACACTTACCTGTTTCACAAGCAACTCCCAGTTTATCCGCACCGCGGCCTTACGGTATTTGAGACTGTCCTCCCTCAATCTCCCGGACATCTCGCCCATCCGCTCTAAGCTGTCGCCCCGGTAAAGGAGGTCTTCGACATTCTTAACCATGTATTTTGTTACATCTCGGAGCTCATCATTCAACTTGTCCAAGTTCTGGGGGGCGCGGCTATCTTGGTAGGTTTTCATTGTTCGCTTGATGAAACCGTCGAATTCAACGAAGGCGTATGGGCGTAAATTGGTGGAGAGGTATTGTGAAGCTGAATAGTTGGTTGTGAATTCGGTGGCTAGGTCACCGAGGTAGCTAAATGCGAGTTTACGCGGGTATGATCTGTCTGCGATGCAGAGGAAGCAAACCTCGTCTCGGATGACATAGCTGTATATAAACGTATAAGATTCCGTTGTATAAAAGGCAACAGGAGCTTTTCCGCAGACAATGTCCCACTCACTGAAGGTTGTATTGCCCGGACTCTATAGTAGCTTGCGGTTCTGAGTTTCGATTCAATCGACGGCATATGAGTTTGGCTTGCGACTTTGGTTCGGACAATATCTCTGTCTATTGATGTTCTCCGTGTTAGCATAACGAGCATCTTTCGTTTTCTCTCTCCTCTCCCCTCTCCTCCCCTTTCACTAGAAACATAAAGCCGCGCGAGTGAACAGCAACACCAGCAACACCAGCATCGAGAACACCTACCTGCTGCTCATCATCTACGGAAGCCGCAAGCGGAACACCTAGATCAATCAAAAGCACCTATTAACACAAAGATCAACCAGAATCTCCCGGTAAACAAGAGTTTCCTAGAACCTACCATCCAGCCTCCAAATCTGAGTTGATAGAACCATCCTTCACGCACGAGATATGTTCCTTTTCGCTCTAGCTTGTTGCTACTTCCTTATCTCATCGCAGGATTCCGTGGACCAATTTATAGAACTGCAACGGAGGCAAAAAACTGCTCCTTGTTGTTAGCTTGCTTGTTTCAACAAGCCAGATCTCCGCCCCCTTCGCCGGGTGAACTTTGTCCTGTGAAGCTTCCTTTGACACGAGAACGTCACTTGATGAGTCAGCAGCTATGGGCCGGCGCCGGAAACAGAAGGCGGACAGCGGCGGCAAAACACCGCCTAAGCACGGCGCATTAAAGTAAGTTCATGTTAATGTTCATTTTCACCATCTTGATCAGTGTCTATTTGATTTGTCTCCTATATATACACAGCTTATCTGCTATAGCTATTGCGGGAAAGCTAACTATGTTGAAGACCCCGCGCACCACGCCGTACTTCTGGTGCAGCAGGTCCTCCATATGATGTTGCGAATACCAAGACAAAGACCACCGTCGCGAAACCTCCGCCTAGAATGACCAAGCTAGGGCGTGTCAAGAAGTCTACTGGAGCACGACGTGGCCCGTCGAGGACTTCTAAGAAAGACCCGTGGAGGGAAGAGCAATTGACAACCAGCACAAATTCGCCTCTCATTCATCTTGACCTCGTCGTAAGTTGTGATCGATTATTAAATTTAACATCCTCCACTAGAAGGAACGAAGCTAACTGATGTATCTCCAGAAACTACTAGCGGACCCCAGGACATGGACCTGTCTCGATGAAGATGAGAAGAAGGAAATCATAGCTCTACTTCCTGATGAGATACAGCGGCATGCTGACCCGGGCCCAAATTCCGAAGGCCAAAAAGATAGTGGTGCACATGTCATTCCGCCACTCCCTGAATCCTTTGTGCGCTATTCTAATAACTGGCGTGATGCTGTGCGCCAATTCCAGGCCGACTTGGAGACGGGCAAGTATGATCCAGAATGGCAGCGCCAGGCAGCAGAAGCGATGGAAGAGAGAGCGCAGGGGAAGTTCGATAAGTTCAAGGAGGACCAATTCGAGGAGTTCTGGGGACAGAAACAGAAACTTGACTATGATGTTATTGCGGGAGAAAGTAGCAGGGTGAAGTTGGGGACTTTGGTTGAGAATGGTGTCGTTAGAGTTGGTGATGTCTGGAGATATTCGAGGTCGTTTGGCAGGGGACGTGAAAAGCTGCTGCTCGAGAAGGAGGTTCGGGTGGGTGATTTTCTTCTTTGTCTGTCATCTGCATTATTCTGCTCTGCCACAAGGGCTTTTACCTCTCTAACGCGACCTTAAAACAGATTGTGGACAGAGATGGCTCTACTCTCACTTTCGCAATTCCTCCTGGCCAGCGTGTATTTCTATGTGATAATTCTGACATGGCCCCGAAATCTTCGCGCGAGAATATTCAGACGGAAACTATCGACACAGAAGCTATCGACACAGCGCCAAACGGAGTAAATAATGGCTCTTCGCCAGCTGAACAAGCTTCTCAGGAGGGCCAGGTTGGTCCAATATCCGACCCCGTTACAAGTTCAAGGCCTGATGGGACCACTCCCAATGGATATGTAAATCCGACATTAGATACTCCGCCTACGGTTGCTGACAACCATCTTGCCAGTGAATCCATGGAGGGCACAGGTTTTGACCGTACTGATACACCAGTAAAATCTTTGAGCCCCGCCGCTGGGCCGGAACCCATGAATGTCGATAACTGGTGTGATAATATACTTCCAGGAATCTATGAGATGGCTTCAGCTGATTCCGACTCGGGGCTGTCATCAGCAGTAGATATGTCCTCTCCCCTATCTTGGAGGGAGGAAACGAAGTTTCCGGCCACTGGCGCAACGGACATCGGAATCACTGCTACTGAACTAATCGCGGAAGCCTTACAGATGGATACGACACTAGATGAAAAACCTGTCGTGGATCGCTTGAGCGATCCACCTTCCGACGTACCGGCGACAGCTAATGGCGGTGATGCCATTAACGCTGGTGCGGAGGCTGGAGTCAACGATGTCCAACTGAAAGGCCCCATGGAGTCAGTTCCACCGCGCTCTCAGTCTCCTGCGAACTCTGTTGTCAATGGTGACACGACGGAAGCCACACTCGCTGCTGGAGTTCCAGCCCTTTCCAAGCACGAAACGACAGCGGAGCCCACAGGTGAAACTACCGCTCCCACCGCACCAGAACCTACATCGGAACAAGCCCAAGAATCCATTCCCAAAGACATAATATTCAGCGGCGTTTCCGGACCTGGCCGTCTCTCTAACAAAATCCTAGAAATTGACGGCCGTATCACTCAGCCTCCCAACGGAAACGCCTGGAAAGAGTTCCGCTGTTACAGGGATAACCAGGATATAGGAAGCTTGTGGGAGTGCAGGCAGTCGTGGTTTGTGAGGAACAAGTGATGGGGCATGATGAACTGAAATGTTCTTCAGCCTCTTTTTGCTTTTTAACATTTCCGATCCCTAGCCATCCTGTCCTCCTCAGGTTGCATTTATAGTGCAGGTGAATAATCCCCGTACCACCCTCCCATCAACTTGGTCTATCAAATATGCATTGATAAACGCTCAATGAGCTTTGATCCACCACGATCTTGGCAAGTACAATCCTTTACACTGCCCAAACTCTTTCTTTTTTCGCGACCTTTATTTTACTTCATATTTTTTGCAAAATTCCTCTTCTTTTTTTCACTTTCTTTCTCTGGAACTCGCGGGATCCTGAAGATCATTTTCAATGTATCATGTGGGCACGGGATCTGATATTTGTACTGGACAATGCTGGCGTTCTTTATGATTGAAGAACAAAACCTTTGCATCGCAAATCATAAATTTTTGCCACTTAGATGTAGAATAGCCACCGGGAAACTTCATTAGGGTTATTTAACTGTCCTTCCCGGTTAATGGGGATTTGAGATCAATTAATGATATACCACAATACCTTCCTCCCCACAATTCCTCTCGTGGACTCCAAGTATTCATAAAACAAGTAGGTATATACATCGAGCAGGACCCCATCAATAACCCCGTAAATATATGAAAATGTAAGTATACTCATGAAATACCAATCACCACCCATCCCCCGCACCTGCATTTGACCCCTACCCACCTCCGCCTCCGCCTCCACCTACACCACTCGCACTCAAACTCCCAGCATCTGGATCAACATTAATATCCACCGCGCTGCTACACTCAATAAAATCCTCGAGCTCCTCGGTCACCGTCTTCAACTTCTCCTTGACGGCCGCAATGCCCTCCGCCCCTACAATATGCCTAGCAGGCGGATTCTCATGTCCACCAATGGCCGTGATCGCATGGATGGTTTCCGCAATTAGTACATCCAGATGCGCGGGGCTCAGGGGTGGATAAATAGATACTACCGTTGGTGCGGATAGGGGTTCGTTGCAGGTTGAGCTGATGGGCTCTTCGTCAAGGTCGGCGTCGGTGTCTTCTGTTTGTCTGCTGGCGTAAGGACGTGGATTTGTTCCATTGTTAGTGTAGGACTTTGTGTTCGTTGAGGCTGTTGATGACGCGGATGGGGATACTGGGGAGGCGGAAGGATACGTCTCCGGCGCTGCCTCGGGCGATTGGCTGTAGGATCCCTGGAGATTTGGCAGGCGAGAGAGAAGGCCGTTCATAATGCCGCGGAATAACGGGGCGTAGTTTGTGGAGGGGGAGTAAGCGGGGAGGATGGGAGGGACACTGGTGATAAGGTTTGTGAGAATGCCGATTTCGATGCTGCATTGGAGGATGGTGAGGCGGATGTTGAAAGGGGCGATTTCGTAGGCGAGGCTCTGTTTCGTTATGTTATTAGATTCATGTTCTTTATTATACGCTCCTTCTCCTTGTTCCTTATTTTTTTTTATTCTCCACTATTTCTTTTCCTCTCCTGTCATGAGGGGTTGTCATGAACCTGCGGCAAAACACACATCACAGAAGCCCTCTAAAGCCCAACCTGCTGCACAGTAAACCCCTAACCCAGGGGTACCTATATGGCCGGCTAAGAAAATAATTAGAACTATGTTGTAGTCGTATGTCCAGTCTGCTCTACATACTAATGCCCCCAACGACGAGAATATGGCCATTTTTCTGCTTCCGAAATTGGGGTAAAACAGCCTTAATTAGATTTACTGGGCCAAAGTAATTGGTTTCGAACTGGTCCTTTACTAGAAGTCGAGTCCGTTCAGATGAAGCAAGTTCCTCGACAGTGCCAATTATTGCTGTAGATTGGGGGTTCTAAGTCAGTCATACATGTCGATTGACACTAGATATAACTTCCATGCGATGATACAAGGGAGTGACTCGCAACAACCCACCTTGGCTCGTGCAGCATACCAAAACATCGACTCTTCCAAATGCGTTAATGGCCTCTGCCACAATAGTTTGGCATTCATTCATCATTCTGCAACCAATTTGGCCATAGTGAATCAGCTGAGCTGTTCGTACTCTAAGAACCTCGCCCTTGGCTTTCCAAGAACCAGACAAGTTCAGTGCTCGATTAAATCTTCGGGGGCGGCAGACCTGATGTCAATAACCACAGGCTTCATACGCTCCCTGCATCCTACACCTTGGGCAGAGAGTTCGCCCAGAAGGGCTTCAAAGTCAGCGCTGCGAGGATCTTCCCGTTCAGGGTTCGGTTCAGGGACACCGGCGACGACGATCTCCCCGTGGGCAAGCAGCTGGCGAGCCAGTGAGATGCCGATGGGTGAGGTTCCCGCTGATATAACCCAAACCCGTGGCCCATCATGGGTAGGGAAATGAGAAGGTACGGAGCCTGGGGACGTAGGGTTGTCCGTCATCTGTGAATAATAAAGCCGAACAACAATTCTGGAACATGACGATCCATATAGCTGTCCCGTGTGATTTATAGTATTTACTGAGGTTTCAGCAGGTATAGCATATCCATCAACATGAAAATATATGAACAGAAAAAGAAGAATACACCCCCCTTTGAAACACGCAGATCGGATAACTTATATACAAATATGGTGCTAGGAGTAATAAGGGGGGTTGTTGCTTCTATCCCGCTTGCGCCAAGCAAATACCACGTGACGTCCGTTCCTGGTGCTGACGTTATTTCATTTGCTCGGAGCTGTTCGCCGGAGCTCCGATAGCAGCGAACTGGCTTCTGTCAACTAACTGCCGCGATTGCTTTGCGCAGACGCCTATCCACCCCGCAGAATTTTGGTATTGCGTTCAGAAGTTCAGCAATATGTCGGGGCGCAGGCAACAGCAAGAGGAGCAGGGCTCAGGCGTAAGCATCCTGTCCTTTATCTCCAAATCATATGCTACGCTCGCTCTTAACTAATGAGATGAAGATGTAGTCTTTGATCAAATCTGCCCTTCAGGGGTTGGCCTTGTTCATCGCAACCCAGTTTTTCGTTTCGCAAGTATTCGGGCCGTCAAAATCAGCGCAAAATGATACCAGTGGTGGTTCTGCGGCTGCGGGGAAAGCAGCTATTCCAGCTTTCGCAGACCGGCCGGATATCCGTACCATCACCAATGCTAGTATGGTCCCTCACAAGGTCGCCCCAATATGGCCTATGAATAGCTCGGTAGACATTTCCATTTACGTCTCGCCATCTACCAGTATTCCGTCATTGGATACTCTCCCAGAAGATGCAAAGGTGCTTGAGGAGAAGAATTTTACTCTCGGTGATTGGGACGACACCAGGGAGATCGCGACAAGTTTCAAAGTGCCCAGAGAAGTCCAACAAAACGGGACGCTATGGGCTCATTTCTACATGTCGCTCACTGGACAGCCACTGGACCCAAAAGACAAATCCTATAACGCTGCCAACGCTGTTTATTTCCGACGCCCGCTGAACCAGTATTTTCCCAAAAAGAAAGTGAAGAAGCTAAAGAATCTCCTCAATGCGGACGAGATAGAAGAGGGCGAGGTTGATGTTCCACGAGTGACCCAAATCGGGTCATTCTATCACCCCAACTTTACCCTCTCTGTCATCCCGGATACTGGGGTTATTAATTTCCCGGTCATGGCTCCAGCAGCGCGACAATATCTCCAGCTTGAGAGGACAGGCGCTAGAGATGCTACCGGCCAGAATGGATGGTACTACCCTATCCTCTTTGTCAATACATTTTGGCAATTAAAGAGCCATATGACCGAACTGAACTCCACTGTTGAGACGCTACCCCTCCATATCACGTTAAAAAACATGCAGAACTGGAAATTTACCTTGTTGGCCAACATTGATGAGAATACAAAACAAAGCCAGAGACAAGCTGCAAGTGGCGGCCCCCTCCCTACTGGTGGTGACGGAAGCGAATTCGAAACTTTTAAGGAGATTTTGTTAGACACCAATAGTTACCTTTTGGCCACTACATTCTTCGTCAGCATTCTTCATATGATTTTCGAGGGGCTTGCATTTAAAAATGATATTGTGAGTGCATTCCTTGCTATCTTTTATCCCATGTGTGAAGTGCTGTATCGCTAACATCTAAACAGTCTCACTGGCGCCAGAAGAAAGATTCGGTTGGTACGTCAGTTCGCACCATCCTTGCGAATGTCTTCATGCAAACAATTATCTTCCTGTACCTGCTTGATAACAGTGAGGGTACCTCATGGATGATTCTCGGCGGCCAAGCCTTTGGCATTGTCCTGGAAGCATGGAAGATCACCAAAACCGTTGACGTTCGCCTTCGTCGTCCGCGACGGGGGTCGGCTTTCTCGTTCCTACCATACGTTATTGTCTTCGAAGATAAACATAAGCTCAGTGAGACGGAACAAAAAACCAAGGAATATGATGAAATAGCTTTCAGGTACCTTTATATGCTCGCGGTCCCATTGCTGGCTGCATATGCAGTTTATAGCCTGGTGTATGAAGACCATAAGTCGTGGTACTCCTATGTTATCGAAACCTTGGTGGGAAGTGTCTACGCTTACGGATTCCTTATGATGGTTCCTAGCCTCTACATCAACTATCGTTTGAAGGTAGGGATGTTCTTAAGCCCCACTCCATGAAACTTCTGTTTTCGTCATAATCTCAACTAACATTGCTTTCCCCCTCAGTCCGTCGCACATATGCCTGGCAAAGCCCTCACATATAAATTCCTAAATACCTTCATCGACGATCTCTTCGCGTTCACCATCAAGATGCCCACTCTCCATAGAATCGCCACACTTAGAGACGATATTATCTTCTTTATCTGGTTGTATCAGAGCTATAAATATAAGGTTGACTATAAGCGTGTAAACGAATTTGGTCAGGGTGGGGAGGAGGATGAAGTTGAAGAAACCGAAGCGGATAAGCGGCCAAAGGCCCTTAAGGACTCTGAGCCTACTACTGTATCGGAGCCTGAGACAAGTACATCGGGAGCGAAAGCCAGAAAAGAACCCGCTCGCAAGCGGAAGTAAATTCAACTGTACAGTACATGGCCTGGCAAAGAGGGGTTGCAGTGGACTTGGGACCCAATAGTTAGATCTGGGAATATTAATGCATCTTATAGTTAGTTTTTAAATTGAATAGAGGTACATAAGTGTTTTTATTGGCGTTGTATAAGACTCCTGCATCATCTAGCTTTCAGCTTTCACCAGTTGAATGAACTATATATAAAAGGTTTCGCTACATGAGGGTCATGTGAGGTAGTATTTAGAAGTTGTCATATGGACGAAGTCCGCTTATATTTATTTTAATATCCAAAGGCCATTCTTTTTGAAATCAAAACTATTCAGAGAATTTCCTATGCAACTAATGCGCCGCTTCTCTGCACTCGAAAGTCGAATGTTATATGATTTCCTGGTTTCAACCCCGCGATCAGATAAACACCTAGACGCGCCAATCGCCGCGCACCAGTATATACCTTCGCGACTGATTTCAGACAATCCGTGCCCGATAATTCGAACATACGTTTTCCAAAACCGTAATTGTACAAGTATTTGACCAAAGAGGTGTTTGTTCATTATTGGCGATCTTATTGTTTCTATTGCCAACTCTAGTTTTCATGATAGAATGGGAACCGTATGGATCCTTGGGAACGTCCCTTGAAAGCGAATTGGGAAGTTCATCCACTACAGAAATATAAAGCGTCTAAATTATTCTAGAGAATATGGCTCCAGAAGGGCAACAAGGTGAGATAAGATACTACAATCTTCAGTTCGGTTGTGCATCACGGATTCAACTTCCAACTAACCGTTCAATTCAATAGACAAGCAGCAGGAAATGAAAGACGCAATTGAACAGCTGGAAAATGGTAAGAATACACGCAAGTTCATCCATATCGTAATATTGTACATGAGAAATGAATATCTAACATGCGCACGCAGTTGCTCCCCTCCCGCCAAAGCAGCGACACACGAACGTCGCTGATCTGGCGAAATCGATCGCGTCCGCCGCTTACGAGTCAGGCATTCCAACTCATCTGCTAGAGCGCCTAATCGCCACCATCTCAAAATCCAAGCATCTAGACCAAACGACGATAACCACTATAGTAAAGAATCTCTACCCATCCGAGCGCGTGCGCCCTCGCACAGCTTCAATGGTCATATCCTGCTTCGGACCCAGCAGAAGCAAGCCATCGCCTGCAACCCAATCCTTACTCATACGCTGGCTAATTCTAGTGTACGAGGATATGGAAGACCAATCATGCCTGTCAAGGCTCTATGCTGTCTTGTTTAATTTCCTGGACATGATCAGCCTACGCAGGTCACTATGTCATCTTCTCTCGCTAATCACACGTAGGAAACACATAAAGCCATTCCGCATTCAAGCGCTCATGGAGCTAATGAGAAACACCGGCGGCGAAGAGCGGGAGCTTCTGGGCCTGCTGAAAGTTTTTAAGAGCTATTATCCTGACATCATTGTTGGGGATGCCTACGCATCAAGTGGGCGTGCAACTTACTTCTTCAAACATCCCGATCCTGAGTGGGTTAAACAGATGAGGCATATTCAAGAACGAACTGCCCCTTCAGGATTGCCGGGTAATGGTCAAGGCGCTCCGCAGACTTTCCAAGCTGTGCGGCGCGGGGGGGTGAAAAGGAGTCGAATTGAGGTTGTTATCCCAGTCGTGCAGACCTCGCGAGTCAAGCGAGATTTCACATCACTGGAGGAATTACGGAGTGCAAACGATTTCGTCCGGAAACTGGACAGGATCGAGGTGCCGAATCAGGTTGCTGCGGCCTTAGTGGATCCGCTCGCGCAAAGGTATTTGCTGTTCGTGAGGAATGAAGCAGCGACACAACGGTTAGAGAGCTGGTTGGATAGTTTTTTTGAGGATGAACTGGACCGAATGCGAGCGGTGAGGGAAGGAGAGGATGAAGTAAATGACTCAGAACATCTTGAATATGTACTTGATGCCCTTGTTGGGTTTGTGCGGTTTACCAAGGTGGGTAGTGATCTAAGTTTCTCCTCTTGCTCGTGGGTTTCGCAGTGTTGCTTTTAATATTGACTTCGTTATTCTGCAGAGTATGCCTGAAGCTGTGGATAAGTTTCTGCGCAAATACCTCCTTTTCTGGAACGGCCATGACAGCAGAACTACCATCCTTGGGCTCCTGGAGTATATACCCATACAAGACTACGATACCCTTCGACAAAATTACTTCATTCCATTAGAGGATGCTATTCTAAGTGATCAACCCGAGTCAAAAGTTGTCATGCTTCAATACTATTCGTCTTTAATCCAACATTGGGGTTCAGTAATCCGCGCTACTCCTTCTCTTTCCCCTATACCTCCTTTACTCCAACTCATTAGCAGGGCAGAGCTCCTTGCCCTAACTGTCCTCGAGAGCTCACCGGGGACTAAGTGGACAGGAACCATTCAAAAAAGATCCACTACGTTATCGGTACTTCAGTTTTATACCGACCTGGCAGGACTTTACAGCTATGCGCCCAAGAATGCCAACATACGCATCACGGTCCCGCAACCGCAAATAATATATATACTTGCGTTCACACAGACACTAAGCCATATATCTACGCTATGTTCCGTACTGGCAGTGTATAAGCATTCTTTCGAAACTTCACTTACGTCAGCGACGCTTCAAAGCACCAGGACGCCCGATCAACCGTATTCAACAGAAGTAGTGTCTCGGTTTAATGGTTACGTGATTGATATTTGCAACCTGTTGTGGCGAAACAGAGGCTTAAACTCGGACGATCCTAATGCCTTGGGCTGCATTGTTCCACCTGGAACGGTAAATGAGCTCTCGAAGTATATGCAGGCGTTGAGCGAGACGTCTAGTTCCGCTAGTGGTGAAAAGCACAAATACCAACTTTCTTCTATATTTTCATTAAGTCAAAATGCCGCATTTTGCAACGTCTCCTCTGCGTGTTTCAGGGGGATTGAAGAAGCATTAGCTGATACTCAAGGGAAATCATTGTCCGTGCGATTGACAAGGCCGGTGACGCAGAGGGCGCTAGCTGCGCTAGATAAAGAGGGAGGTATAACGATAAACTGGCAAGAATACAGATTAAAGATGCTTGAATGGCTGGACGAAATGGGAGCTGAAGGAGTTGGGAATCTGATGCGGAGTACAATGAAAGCGTTGCGGTAGTAGTGTACATGAGATTTGTATATTCGATGGTTACCGAGGGCCGATTGATCCTATTGTTGTTTCTGATTATAATGTAGTTGAATTGGTATATATATCCTGGACGGTGGGTTCCTCTCGAATTGCACTCAGGATCTCCTCGATTTTATCTGCATCTTCTCTCGATTGCAGTTCCACAACCGTGTCCTTATTCGGGTCCCAAATAATGTCAGCGGTCTCGATTTTCAATCCAGTCAGTGCTGAAAGTTTATCACCAACAGCCTTCGTATCTGCGTACTCTGCGAATACTCTGAGCCGACCTTGATCGTCTGTATCCACATCAATAGCTCCAGCATCAATGGCATGCTCCAGGTGGTCATCTACGTTCAAGCCTTCGACCTTCTCAAATACGATTCTGCCTTTCTTCTCGAATAGATAGCTCGTGGGTGTGACTGTCCCCCCGTGATGTTTAATTAAAAAGCGGACATCTTGCAGTGTTCTCATTTTCTGATCCGTCATACATTCGATCACGACAGCAACAGATGATGGTAGGAGTGCTTCAATCGTTACCGATTCGAGGGGTGCACCCGTCGGCGATATTCCCTGGCCACGCGCAATAGCAGCCTCAATTGTACTCTTTGACATACCGCTTCGTTTCGCTTTGCTGATGACAAGGGCGAGTCGGGGATTTGAGGCCGGGTCTGGTCCAAATACTTTGCATAGTGTCAGTATTATGAGGAGTAAGAAATATGGACAACAAATGTTCAGTGTAAAGTTTGCTTACACTTCGACGCATTGATTATGTCTCTGGCGTAGAGAATGCGCTCTTTGCTCTTTGCCGCATCGTTTTTGCCCTTGTCGTGCCTAATTGTAGACCAACGGTTGTGACCTGCCTGTACGATTGCGGAGGAACTCAGGGCTCGACAATGCTTGCACACCCAAGGGCGTAGGCTTCGAGGCCCTCCCAAAAGTCTCAATCTAAAAGTAGAAGCCATGAGGTCTATAATAACGGCGGTAACGTCGGCGCGCGAGAACGATGTCGTTGTCCGACGACACTTTTGGGGGCTCCGCGGGAGAGGATCGGCCCGACTGTTGATCCGCGCCGGTGATATATCTTGACAGTTCGTGAACTATGGCACGAGCACGACGTTTAACTCCAACCCCTTAAAGGTGAACCATTTAGTTCGCACAAATTGTAGATGTGCCTGGGAGTATTCCTATGAAGCATCAGCAGCAATGGCGGCTCCTGATACCGCTGCTGCGCCATCAGCGGGGCCAGACACTGCGGACTCCCGCCTCGAACTAGATGTGCCCAAGCTTCATTCACTCCCCTCCGAACAACAAGACCTCTACCTCCTGAGGTTTACCGCGGACCTCGTTCAATACACAGCGACACTCGATAAAGCGGGTCTATCTTCTCAGCAACGGTTTATCATTCAGGAACTCTTTAAAATATTGAAGCTTTCGTCGCCTCCTCCCACCAGGGTGATACGAAATAACGTCGGCCGATGTTTCAACGCTATCTTCAGCAAGGGGGACCGAACCACGCTGTACGACACCGTCACACAACTTCTGGGAATACTCAATGCTGGGAAGAATGATTGGGAGCTGAAGACTAAGTTTGCCGCCGCTGTCGCGATAGGGGAGATATATGCAGGAGCTGGAGACAGTCTGTTCACTCAGTCGACTGTTGTCTGCTCCGCATTGTTGAAGCTATTCAAGTCCTCCCAAAACCATGCCGGATTGAGGAGCTCCTTATATACAGCCTTGAAGAGGGTGGTTGGCAGCATCGGTTCTCCTGTGGATGAACAAACAGCGAAGGATATCTGGAAGCATGCTCGAAACACGGCCACCAACGACAAGGCCGTCGCCGTCCAAGCGAGTGCATGTTATTGCCTTGAGCAGTTGATTAAGAGCACATCCTATTTTGGGACGTTAGCCGACTTCGAGAATCTCAAAGCTACAATTTGGAAAGTGATTGACAGCCCTAGTCCATCTGTAAGGCATGCGGCCGCTTCCTGCCTTGCTGCCATGTTGATCAAAGCTCTCGTAGCCGGAGACCAGGTCCAGGACGTGCCAACTGTTCGAAAACCCAAAAAGCAATCGAAAAAACAGCCAACTGCCCCTGATGGTGATGACGCAACCGAGCGACCTCAGTCGCCGCAGCCTTCTGCAGGTCGAAGAGTGGACCTTCATATTTCATTCCAACTCCCCGAGCTCTTGAAACAACTTTCTTTTCAATACTGCCGAACCTCAACTAGTAACCGAGCAAGAGCAGGTATTGCTACGTGTTATAAGCAAATCCTAAGAGGCCTTGGCAACAACTTTGTCGAAGAACGCTATGCGGAAATTGCTGGTCACTTTCTAGTTACGGTATTAAATCATCCAACCATCACTTACAACCGATACCGACTCCTGATGACCAGGAAATTTATCAAGAGCTTATTAGAGGATACTGTTTGTCGTGAAATCCTCCGTGAGAATAGTAAACTTAACGCCGCCAAATGGCTAACAAATGGCCTGCTTAAGGATTACCCGAAAGTGGTCCAGGAGCGACCTGAGCCAAGCAAATACACTTTAACGAGTGCCTTGAGCACATTATCTGCTATTATATCTTCCTTAGGCTCTGCTCTGGCGGTTATCGGGGACAGCTGTCGTGATTCACTCCTCCAGGTACTCCAGCATCCTAGCTATACTGTCCAAATTCATACCGCCCAGTGCTTGCGCAACTTTGTTCTTGCTTGCCCTCAGCAACTCCTCTCTTGCGTGACGGTCTGCATGAATAGCCTTAACAGGGAGATTGGTCAGCTATCTACTCCACGACATTCCAATAGGCGATGCCTTGGATACGCCCATGGCCTGGCGGCTATGTTGAGTACCTCTCGATTGCAGCCACTCTATGGCTCCGTCGATGTGTACGCACGGGTCCTATCACAAGCTACAGATCTCCTGAAAACAAGTAGCAGCTCGGAGTTGAGGATTGCAAGCACGCAAATCCAGGTTGCATGGATTTTAATTGGCGGTCTGATGCCGCTTGGACCTAGCTTCACCAAAATTCACCTACCCCAGCTACTCCTATTGTGGAAAAATGCCCTCCCAAAGCCTTTGCCCAAAGATAACCTGGCTCAACGCGGTCCCCTAGAGATGAGCTTTTTGGCCCACGTCCGAGAATGCGCCCTTGGTTCAATCTACGTGTTTTTGGAGTTCAACAGCAACCTTGTAACGGCAGATGGATCAAGACGTATTGCTGCAATGCTTCAGAATACAGTGATGTTTTTGGATAACCTGCCAAGACTCAAGTCTGCGGAAGATATCTCTCAGCGCCTATCGCCTTCACTACAGTTAAAGGATTTCGCCACGATGATTCGTCGACGTGTATTGCAGTGTTTTTCAAAACTAGTCAACATAGACCACGCAAATTCAGATGTTCTATCATTGTCGAATATCCTAGGCCTAGCGATCTCGTCATTTGCTGATCCTGAGGTTATTTCCGCAAACCCTTTTGATACATCCATTGCTAGTTCCACTACTCACTTTGATAATATTTGGGACCTTGACGACAATTTTGGATTTGGTGTAACAGGTTTAGCACATGAATTTGCCGTCGAGACCATCTCAGGATGTCATAAAGAAGATAACTCCGCCGGCACGAAAGCGATGGAATCACCTGAGCAGGGAATTGACAATATTGTAAGCTCCAAACTACCCGCCTTAATGCATGCAAATCTAACTACTTTCTGTAGTTGTTATCCCCGATCTGCCAAGCTAGGGAGCATGACTCTGTACTTCTCTATTCGGTGACTGAGCGAAATAGCGGATCATACTCGGACCCTCCCGATACCGAAGTTGTGAATGCAGCAATAGACTTATTTGCGAAGGCGTTACCATTACAATCGCCAAAGGTTCAGGAAAGTAGTGTGGAGCAAATAGCAGCCTTACTCTCCGCCCAAAGTCTAAACCGCAACCCTGGGCGAAAGGCAGCCATGACTGTCAATATTGCTGTAGCTCTGCTCCTTGCTGTTAAAGTTGCCGTTAAGGAGACCCCATCGGCGCCGGGGAACTTGAGGTATCCTGCAACTGAGAAAGTTATGCAGGAGCTCATTCTGGTAAAAACCTACCCTCTACACAATCACCTATATATGCTAAGGACCAGTAGACTTTTACCACCCACCCCGATCCCATCGTGCGTTGTATAGGCTCCGAAGCACTAGGGCGGCTGTGCAATAGTTCCGGGAATGCCTTCACTAGCAGCCAAATCAACTTCCTCGTTGATTCCATTGTTGAGAACCGAGATCCCAGCACGCGTGCTGGATGCGCGACAGCTCTAGGTTGTATCCATTCTCAAGTCGGCGGCATGGCGGCTAGTTTCCACTTGAAAACCATTGTTGGCGTCCTCATGTCCCTCTGCAGTGATCCTCACCCCGTCGTTCACTTCTGGGCACTAGAAGGCTTGGGTCGAGTGGCAGAATCTGCTGGATTGACCTTTTCGGCCTATGTGTCAAGCTCCCTCGGCATGCTTGCCAGGCTATATATTGCCGATACCCATAATGAAGAAGCTTCATCTGTGTCAACCTCCAATCTAGAAGTGGCATTTCCGACTACCGTGTCCATTAGTCGCTGCGTTGATTCGCTTATCAACGTTCTTGGTCCGGATTTACGGGATATCTCAAAAACTCGGGAACTGATTTTCACGCTCGTGAAGGAATTTCAGCTTGAGAAATCCACAGCGCTGGTGGCAGAGAGCTCAAAATGCTTAGATCATCTGTCTTTATATGCTCCAAATCACATGGATTTCTCCGCCTATGTCCGATGGCTTCAGCAGGAACTTGCATTGAAAAGCACGACAATTCAGGATGCCGCTATTCGAGGCTTCAACAATCTGATGAAAAGAGACGCCGATTTGGTCATTCGCACAGCCTCACCGAGCCTTGAGGATGAGTTCTGGCTAGCCTTTGAGAGCGCGACGGATAACGAAGCATTGAAAAACATTGTCTGCAACTGGCTGCAGCAAACTGGGCTCACGGATACTGATGATTGGATACAACGGTTCCAAAAGGTCCTCACGAAGACGCGATCGAAACAGGATGATAATCCTCCACCTACCACAGTCAACACCACTGCTATTCATGACATCGCAGACGACGAGGTGGCAGGATTTGCCGCAGCCGTTGGGGGAGAGCCCGGCGAAACGGCCAACGAGTCCTCCTCTGGTCAGGAACTGCTCAGGTGGCAAACCAGAAATTTCGTGATGGCCTGTCTAAGTGAGCTTCTGTCCATGGTTAGCAAAAACATATTGCCCGATCAAATTATTCCCGCAGAAATGGCGTTGCAAGAAAGGGTTGGAGATATTATTCGAATGGCATTTTCCGCATCCACTGCCAACGTCATTGAGCTCCGAATCTGGGGTTTGAAAATAATTGATCAAATATTGAAGGTTAGTAGTGCCCATTGGATTTCCATCCCCTCCCCAGTTTACTAAAAAGCGAAATTTTCTCTAGATGTTTGGCAAAACCCCGGATCCCGATTTTGCGGAAGCGTTACTCTTGGAACAATATCAAGCTCAAATTAGTTCCGCACTAACTCCTGCATTTGCAGCTGACTCTTCATCTGAGCTGGCCTCGGAGGCGATTAATGTTTGCGCAACTTTCGTTGGTACCGGAATCGTGACAAATGTGGATCGTATGGGTCGTATTTTTAAACTACTGGTTGTTGGCCTGGAGAACTTCGCGAGTATGTGTTCTTACTTCCCTTGCTAGCTGATAACTTCGCTAATCCATTCATTAGATAAACCTGACACCACAGAGATTGGTGATCTCAAAGGGCTTAATTCTAATGCGCGTGTGATGGTGAAGCTTGCACTATTCTCAGCTTGGGCTAGGTTGCAGATAGCTAGCAACGACCAAAATTGGTTGGCTGAAATTGTGCAGCCGTATACCGCTACCCTCACTCCCCTGTGGCTCTCTTCCCTCCAGGAATTTGCGCGCCTCCGATTTGAACCGGAAATATCCAGCACGCTTGGGCCCACCGTATCTGACAATTTGGACGAGGTGTATGCAGCATTGAACCGGGAAACATTATTGAAAGTATGCATTCTGACTTGATCATGTCTTCTACCACACCACTAACACATATGCTCAAACTAGTTCTATCAAGATTCCTGGCTGAGTTTCGTTGATGCCATCGCAAGCCTGGTTGAGAAGGATAGCGAGTTCGTCTTCGATGCCCTTGATGGGAAACTTGAACCGTCAAAGGAAGTAGTTAGTGCTGATAAACCTGAAGTAAATGGTGTAAAGGGGGAGAAGGGAACGCATATAAACTATCGCGATGAACCAGTCGCGTTCTTTTTTGTTCTCTTTGGCCTTGCCTTCGAGGCTCTCGTCGCGCAAAGCCATGAACAATCAAATCAGTCATTGGAAATTCTGCGAGCCTTGCGAAAGATCCTCCACCCATCCGTTGCTGGGAATGCCGTGTACCAACAGGCCGTATTTTCCGAAACTATGGATACGTTGGACAGATTAGTGATGACTGAAGGCTCCAGCGTACAAACGGTCATTGTCCAAATGGCACGAGATCTGGCTCTGCACCACCACTCTGCACCGAATAACCAGCCTCGATCTGACAATCTGTCAGACGATATTGAGCAGCTATTCGAACTCACACGAAACATCATTCTTGTCCTTGCAGGACTCCTGCCTAATCTCAGCGAGTCTCCGACGCACACCCGCTTCAATATATCTGATGAGGCGGCCTCCCTCATAACACTATCCCTCTCCTCACTTGTCGACGTCACCTCTGTTTTTCCCTCCATTATCCGCGGGGATCTCCGCGCCTGCATCTTGCATATTTTCACAACAATTTTGGCCATGGGCATCTGCCAAGCCGAAGTCGTCCCTCGAGCTCTCCCCATCTTTCGCCGCTTCATCCAGGGCATCACCCGCCCACCGACGTCAATCACAACTTCGGCTGTACCCACTGATTCTGAAACCCCACATCCTCCCCCCGAAGACCCAGAAATCATCTCCCGTCAAATCCGAGGTTGCATCTCCCGTCTTCTCCAGATTCTCACGATTGCCCAACGCCGCGAATCGGAAACCTCACTCACTTGCGCCAAAAATACTCTCTTATCCCTAACCGTCCTGCTGACAACAAGCACCCACGTAATACCACCGCAAGATCCCTTAATCCCTCGCGTACTCTCCGAGTTCCTCGACTGCTTACAGGACCTGGGCCTCGCGACTGTCGCAGCGGGCTGCCTCCGCTCCATCCTTCTTAGCCCATCGACCCAAACCACCCGCTCCCCGACCGACGACGCAATTGCTCGTTTCCTCCTCCCACGACTCATTGCCTTCATAACAAGCCTGCCCGCCAGCGAACTTGAGACGCCCGTAGACCCTGAAAATGTCAAGGGGACCATCACACTGGCTCTCGTCTCGTGTATCGGCTCGGGCACGATTGCACCAGCGAGTGTCCCCATAGCGATGGCTCTGGTTATTCCCGCACTCCTGATGCGCGCGAGGAATGAAGGCCAGGGAATTTATAAGGAGATAGCCGCTGCTCTTCTTGAGCTAGCGAAGATCGACGCGGTGTCGTTTAGAGGTCTAGTGGCGGGGATGGGTGCTGAGCAGCGAGCTTTTACGGAGGAGATTCTGAGAAATGGGGGGATTGGGGGTGGTGGGGGTGGTGGGGGGAAGGAGGGGAGGAACGTTTCCGACGGGGCGGATGATGGGGAGAGGAATGTACCGAGTATTGCGTTGCGGATGGACTTTTAGAATTTGGTTTTATTTACTCCGTCCAGATAGGGTTACTTTGGATATAATGATCCGGCCGTCCGGTTGGCTTTGTAACACACATATATATTTTATACATACTATAATTCATAAGTTTTTACCTTGCCATGGGTATGCGTAAATTCTTGACATAGATATTGGTCATTGAGAAACAGGAGCTATATGTCATATGGCATCACTTATGTTTCAATTAAAGTATTAGGAAATATTCACCCACTGTTCGACAAATTAATTATCTATAGGTCGAGGTCGTCTATATAATTGGTTGGGGTATAAGGTAATTATTCAAAATGGAAACGCAAGCGGAGTGTTGAAAGAAGCCCGATGTTTCTAGCTGGTTCTTTATCGACCACAAACAGAAAAAGCTGAAGGGAAAAACTCGGGGGGCAAAGAATGAACGTCTGCTGTTAGGATTATGCGTCAAGGAAGGTCGGTTGGAATATGTGAAATATATGCTTTCTGTCCCGTCTTGTCCTCACCCAATCGGCTCTGTGGCCATTGACTCTGGACTAGAGATGGGCGGTAACGAAGGGTCAGCGGAAGGTTGGTCGTTGAGTTTCACCTCAGCGGCAGCACCTTTAGCTGCATTTTCCTTCTCGCGGTGCTTATATGAGGAATATCTGAGAGCGAGGATAATCATGCCTAATTTTATGAAGCTGGTCAGATAGGTAGTTAAAAAAGAGGGGTTATTGCAAAAAAGGATAAAAGCAGAGGTAACTCAAAGAAACGCATAGGATAAGGAAAAGGAGATCTGACTGGCACTCGTGGCAATAGCCAGCGCGGCTCTCCTGGTCAAAATCCACCGTAGCCCCTCAACCTCGCTCTTCCCGTCACTATTCAGCGACACGGTGATCTGATAATTCAACTCCTGGATTGCCGTATCCAGCGAACGCTGTAGTTCCCTCGTCGAAATTTTCTGATCATTGAACATCTCTTTCAAGTCATCTTTCAACCCTGCCAGTTCCTGTGTCATGCGCTGCGTTAGGATATCCAACTCGTGCTGCAGCTGGGCTCGCTCTGAGCGCTGGGCTTGTATGGCTGTATTCCGTGAGGCCTGGACGGAGTTTCGAAGCTCCGAACATGCCGCCTGAAAAAGATACGTCTCGTTTTCCACGTCGGATTTGGATATAAGGCCTTTCCGTGCCAGCTCGAGGTTATCGGCCAGTAGGCCTCGGATAGCCTTCATGATGGACACGGACTGTTCCTCTGTAAACCCAGACCGACCTAGATCTTTCACGAGAGTGTACGTATCGAAGTGGTGTACGTATGGCCGCGGGCTCAGATGCGGGGGTTTCTGCTGTTGGGAATTCTCCGGGGGCAGGGATTGAGAAGGAGCCTCGACCTCGGGTGACGAGGAAGATATGGGTCCGGGCATTTGAAATACAAAGTCTTGGGGCCCTTTCAATAAATCTACCTTTCGTTCTTCTGCCGTAGAATCGGGGGAAGCAGCAGCCTCAATCCCCGCTTTTTGCGCCGAGTCCCTGCTACCTTGAGACGGTAACTCCGCCGAAATGTTTGTGGACGATGCGGAGACGGCGGACGAGGAGGGTGAGGATTTCTTGGATCCGGCATCTGATTTAGCCTCTTTCCCCGTATCCTTCACATCCTGTGGCTCAGAAGGTTTAGACATCTTTCTCTGCCTGTCCGCTTGGGTTTGTTCCTTCTTGGGTGTGTTCTGCTGGGCCTCTGGGGAGACCACATCTTTTGGCTTCGGAGGAGGGGGAATTCGAGGCTCTGCAGCCGGCCCATAGCGCTGGTGGAATGGCTCTGCATCACAGAGTTGACTGGTATGAAATGCTGAGAATAGGCTGCTGCTCTTCTGGTGTGATGCTTGCTGTGGTGGTGGGGGGAATCTTATCGACCGATAGGTCGTTGGCTCACATGCCCTGACTGAGCGCAAAAGGTTCGGGTACAGGAATGGGAGTCTGGGAGCTGCCATGCCAGCTCCTTGACGTAATGCGACAAGAGAAAATAGCTCTTTAGGGAAAAGCGGGAAGTATACAAGTCCAGGCTGTAAAGAAAATGATACAACGTTAGGATGTTGGGCGGAGACATGCTGCAGCTACCTAGGTACTTACCTAACCCCGAGGCCGAGTCATGTGATCCTGTTTTCCCGTTACACCGACCTACAACGGATAAATTACAAGAGAAAATAGCATGAGAGTGAAAACGACGAATCCACATTGACTATTATGTACAGATGACTCCTCTCTTTATATAGGTAGATATATATTATGAACAGGATTCCATTTACTTTGTGAACTGAAAGAAAAAAAATCAACCCAACAGCCCAAATAGTAGTTGAGTTTGCTTCCAATACTTCTGAGCCCTGCTCTCGAGGGTACGCAACTCCGTGTCGCCATCTAGGTCAATGTCCTTTCTGACCAGCTCGACAATAGATCCGAGGTCATCCTCCGCTTTGGGGTGATGGAAATTCCGTATAGAAAGCGCCTCTTCCAGATAAAACACGTCGAAAACAAGCTGAATTTTGCGGTCCCGCAAGACTTCCGAAGAAACATCTGCCGGGGTTGTTGGCTCCCGCGGCAATTCTGCTACAGTAACTTCAGGAGCACTGTCGCCGTTTGGAGTTTTATTATCAGGCTGGTGCTCATTGTGTATAGGGCTTTTAGCATCCGAAGCAGCACTATCGGTGCTCTTTTCGAGGTCTGCAGAAATACTTGACGATATCATTTTATGCAGTTTATTTTTCAGTACGCCCACAGCTGAAGGATTCCAAAGGTCGGGGCCTTGTTCCTCCATCGTCGTGACCAGTTTCTGCAACAATTTGAAAGCGGCTGGGGATGGTTGAATAGGGAGCGGTGGGTTGCCTTCCCAGAGCGTGCGACCAGCACAACCTGCTCCGTGACGTTTCCCAAGAGCTCGGGTGATAATTGATGGTAAAATTTGAGAACTGATCTCAACGGCTAGGATGTCGTGTAATTTTGGAACAAGGCCATCAGCAAATAGATGATCCTCAGCCGAAATGCCTCTAGGGATCTGCCCTCGAATTTCTCGAATGACTCGTAGCATGAAAGCTGCCTGCTTCCCACGATGAGATCCACCCATATTGGCCAAGGCGCTGTGGAGACATGTCTGTAGCGCCGAGAAACCTTTGGTCAACGTAGTTTCGTATTCTTTCTGGAGAAGGTCGGGGTCATCTTGATTCAAAATCCCGACTGTGTTTTGCAGGACGTCTTCATCTTCGTCGTCTTCGACGATATCCTCCCACCTAATTTTTTTAAGGTCGTCGATCATATCTTTGCATTCTTCAACACCAGACAGCCACGTAGTATATGACCCCGATATCTGTAGTACCTTACTATCTCTTCCCAGGGTCCTGTTGATAATCTCCCTTTTGAAGGTGGTGGCACCGCCTGAAGAATCGAGGAACACAACATTCGCATCCCAGAGTGATAGAGAGGAAGCCCCGTCTTCGATCTCGCCCCACCCGGTAATTGTAGATGAGATCTCAAGCCCAAGCAAAGTCAGACCCTTGGCTTGCGCACGTAGAATAGAAACAAGCTGATTGTTCACAGCGCCGCGGATGCCCTCAAGTATCTCCAGAGGCGAATGGCATGGTGTGGAGCTTTGAACTGGTAACCAAATACCCAACAGGTTTCTGCGAAGAAGTAAGATCTCCTTCAAATTTTGAGATCGCTCTAAATTCTTTCTCATTCCGTCAGTCAACGCTCTGAATCCCTTCCTCGACCAATCCTTTATTATTTGGCCCGCCTCTGATTTGGATAAATCAATATGTTTCACCCATGGCGTAAAGTTCCTAATGTCGTTGGCCACCCATCGCTCAAAAATATCAATTGCCAGCCCATCCAGCTTTCGCACCTCCGGGTCATCAAGGATGGGGTGAATGGTTAGCTTTCCAAGGGCGTCTGATAGACTGCCCGAGAGCAGCTCTGATGTGCGTTTCAAAGTATGTATAAGGAGTTTCAAGCTCTGTTCAATATTTGCGAAGCTTGGATCTTCTCGCAAGAGTACCGCTTGTATAGCCTCCAACCGGACCTGATGAAATTGGCGTAGTACATCCGTAGAAGAGGAACTGGTCGCTAGGCAATAAGCTGACATAGCCTCAATAATTTCTTGGATTGAATAGTTCGGGGTGGCCAGCTTGCGCCCGATGCGCTTTAGTAGGCTGCGGCGGAGGGAGGCCAACTGGGTTCGGAGATTTTCAAGGAACACGGGAGCGCGATTGCTCTGAGAAAGGGTCTTGTGAAGAAGCCGCGATATGACAAGGAGTTTTGCAATCAGGAGATTCGAACCATGTTTCCGGAACAGTCTATAGCCGGCGGATGTGCAGCTATGCAGGAGGGCCAGCTGCGCGGCAATTGCTCTCTCATCAACGCCTATATGTGACATGTTAACTATACCGAGAATCTCCACAGAGTTGGCAGATGGCAGGGTATACAAACCTTCATCCACAGCAGAAATATTCGATTTATTTTCGATCAACCGGGGATTACATCGCCTTCCAATGCTCGATAGCTTAGTCTCGACCTCCTGGATCTCGTCGTTCATTTCGACAATTGTCTGCGCGGTGCCGAGAAGCTCTCGATATCTCATCCTAAGCGCAATAAGGGGTTAATCAGCAAAATGGTTCATTTGGTCATACTAGTGTGGCATTAAATATTACCCGACAAGAGAGCGCAACTTGTCCTTGTTGCTGGCGATGTCGCGGCGGAGTTCCTCCTCGACTCGCCGCACGGTGGGGATTGGGTGTTGAAACGCCTCCTGCCATGATTGAAGGCTGTAGGCATCTGGTACATCTGTGGCCATGTTTTAAGCCAGGCGCTATGTCGCTGTCTCCAGGTGGGAGATACAGCAGCTGAGAGAGCGGGAGAGTTGGCGTTGTTGTCAAGTCTGTCCTCTCCCATCCCGATGTTGTCCTGAGCATCGGCTGGCCCGTGCACCGCTGCTAACTATTTCTTCATGTTATTTAACATAAATACTCCGTTTAGAGTATTTCGATCCAGATAGCAAATTAAATATTCCAAAGAGCACTAAAAAATTGATACCGCAGCATCTTCAACAAGATTCATTCCCAAATATAACTATTTCCGATTTCTCAAGCTGCTGTCTAGGTCTGATTTCCCCAGATCAATACCGCCGGATTAGGGTTTAGGGCTGGCTAAACTCTACTAAATATGCGTCATCTTTAGGGAAATGAAAGCGGCGGGAAAATAAAAAAAAACCAGGCTTCAAAAGGACTGGAATCAACGCAATAACATCATTGAGTCTATTTAACTTGCACAATATACTTTTGCCTCGAGGCAGCAAATTTGTCCTATATCTCAACTTTCTGTATATCTCGCATATACAGTATTCTCCCGGCAGAGCCGGAGCTCATGGCGGGCGACGATATTACCCCTCAGCAAGGCGCCTCGAACGGGCTGCCATTCCCCACCCTCAAGAAATCGCATATTCTACATTGCTCGTATCATTACTGGCATCCGAAGTACGTCACTATTGTTGCTCCATATGCCATTCCCGGCAACTATTTGTAGTCGGCCGGATTACTGACCTCCCGCCTGGATGATATAGATACCGCTCTATAACCCCAAAAGCCCGTCTCATCCCCTTGAATGATGCATTCCTTACCTATCTCCGCGCGGACGGAATAATTCTACCTCCCCAAGATGGAGACCCTCCCGGCGCGGACGACGATAGCGGCGTCTATTCCCTATCAGACGGCTCTGAGTCGGATGACGAGGACGAGGATCCTTCTACGCAATGGCAGGAGATACACGCTCAGATAAAAGCGACGATAGAAGAACTAGATGGGAAAGTTGCCCCAAAACTTAACTGGAGTGCCCCGAAAGATGCAACCTGGATATCGGCGACAAACGATATGCAGTGCAGAAATCCTAATGACATATATCTGTTACTGAAAAGCAGCGATTTTGTGACTCATGATCTGGAACATGCTTTCGACGGATGTGTATCAGACAGTGAAGAAGAGGACAAAGAAGCAAAGGAGGAGGAGCAAAACCCAACAGAAAAAAGCCGCATCCCATACCACCTCGTCCTACGCAAATACATAACCCTAAACCCCTCCCTCGAATTCCGCTGCTTCGTCCGTGACAGAAAACTCCTCTGCCTCTGCCAACGCGACCTAAACCACTTTAATTTCCTCTTCGGCCTTCGCGACGACCTTCGCGACAAAATCCAGACCTTCTTTGACATCAGGCTGCGCGACACGTTTCCCGATCCAGATTTTGTGTTTGATGTCTACGTGCCCCCGCCGCATAATCGCGTGTGGCTAATGGATATCAACCCCTGGGCGATCCGGACGGATCCACTACTATTCTCGTGGTTGGAGATTTTAAACATGAAAGGACCAAGTTGCGATGAGGATGTGGCGAATGAGAAGAGGGAGGGAGGGGAGAGTGAGGTGGTGCGAATAAAATTGCGCCAGGGCGGGACAAAGGAAGGTGCACAAAAAGAAGATAGCGAAAGCGCGCTTGAGAAAGAGGATGGTAGTGACAAGGATGACGAAGAAAATGAGGATGAGGATGAGGATGAGGATGAGGATGACCTAGACGATATCACCACACTTCCCTTCGTGCCCGAATTCCGTCTCGTGGAACACGACGATCCAGAAGCATATGGCTTCTCGACACCACGATATTCGGCGCATAAGTTACCCAAGGAAGTTGTGGATGCGTCGAGAAGCGGGCCTGGTGGCATGGGCGAGTTCCTCGGCCAGTGGCAGGATATCCTTGCGAAAAAGATACAGGAAGATGACGAGGCGGAGGCCGCGGCTGTAGGGCCTACTATGGGTGACGGTTGAGATTTGGGATTTGTTACAGCACAGATGAAAGAAACAAGCTCGTTCTTATTAATATTATTCTTTGTTCATTTATGAACTTGTATGAATAATTAAATTGGAGGTGACGGCAGGTACTCCATGTCCGGGACAATATTTATGATGCTTTGAAGGAGTAAAGACAGTTAACATTGTTCAGAGAATGGGTGGAATTGTTATTTATATTTCATGCACTTTGTTTTGTCTACCATGGAACTAACTACTTCTTCCTTGCTGGTATTTTAGCTGTGGGGTGTTGTAATGAGTTTCTTTGTCCACAGGCTTGAATGCCCCTTGCACATGGCTTATCGTCCCTGCATCATCCCCACGCAATGATGAAGTCCCGCAACGGGATGACAACATCTTCCCAAAATTCATATACAGTACATTGGTGCTGGGTATTCTAATTCTAGAATTTCCATCCTAGCCCTCATAGATCTATCTATCATCTAAATTTGAGATTGTGGACACAATATCCCATTCCGCACTGTCTCGTCATCCGGAGAAAACACTTAGAAACACCTATCTAGAAAAAAAATGGAAAAAGAGACAAAAAAGGACATAATCAAGAGAGAACGCAATCAAAAACCAAGGAGCAGAAAGTGACCTGGGCAAAGAAGAGAAAAGTTTCTATCCCAACCAACCTTCCAATTGTACACACATCACCCCAAAAGTACATGTACATACATGCACCTTGAGCCAATTACAACTTATGCTTCTTCTGCCCAGTCGCAATCTTCATAAACTCCTGCTGTGGAATGCCAGCCATAAACCTATCCATCCCCATAAACACCTCCAAAACATTCTGGCGATCCAACACCCGCCTCCCTGGCCGTCTAATCAGCTCCTTAACCTTAACCATGCTGTCCTGATTAAGATGTGTCCCAAGCCTCTCCTCAACCTCCTCCAATACCAGTTTCAAAAACCCAGCCGCATCCTCCTTTCCACCGGGGGCAGTGAACACCTTGTTCACATACCCAGTCGAAACCAGATCCTCAATGGGGATTCGCTTGCTCATGATCAACGCCTCGTTGGCCTTGGAGATACCCAGGCGTTCAACCAAGGCGTGGCTGGCACCACCCTCAGCCACGAGACCGAGGGATGTGAAGGGCGTGAGGAGGAATGTGTGTGGAGCGGCGTAGATGAAATCCCCGAAGGCAGTGAGAGCGGCGGAGAGACCGACTGCTGGGCCGTTGAGGGCTACGACGAGAATCTTGGGGTGGTTGGAGAAAGTGTTTGTCAGGTCCAGGTTGCCGGCAACGAAGCCGCGCAGGACTTCACGGCGGGCGTCAGCATCGCCAGAAGCAGGACGGGTCTTCTGAACATCGGCACCACTAAATATTCGAGGGTTGTATTGTTAGAGAATGTTGTGTTTTCTAGTCAAAGTGAGGGATGTGTTTGGGGGTCTTAATACGTTTTGACTTACGCAGAAAAGAAGCGACCTGTTCCCGTCAGGACAGTGATGAAGATGTCATCGCGCTGGGCGATCTCGCGCATCTTCTGACCCAGTTCCCAGTAGTGGTCACCACCCAGAGCATTGAGCTTCTTAGGCCGGTTGAGGGTGATGATGGCTACCCGGTCCTTGTAGGTGACGGTGATTTCTTGGGCTGCAGAGCTCATTTTTGCGCTGTGATCTGATTTCCTTTATTATGTACGAAAAGAAGGAAGACTATAACTATTGTGGGATCTCGAAGGATGACAATGCAAGAAAGAAAGCAGTAACTCGAAACGAACGTTGAGCTATTGACGTGTTGTTAGTTCCAGAGGCGGTGTTATGCCTTTGGAAGATGCCCTTCAAAAAACGTCAGGGTCGAGGGGGAAGGAAGAGAAAGAGAATGAGCAGAAGAAGAGATCAGTTAAATGGTTTTATATTCATGAAATTAGAAAGAAAGCGGGACAAGAAAGAGAGACAAATATGAGCTGTGTTTCTGCCATTTCTAAGGGAGGGAGGGGGTTTTGGAGAAACACCCGCGGCTAAAAATAAGCTGTGTTAGCATTGAGCCGAAAATTGAACGGCAATGAGCTACAAAGGAACTAATGGAAAGAAACCTGGAAAATAGACGGCTGGGGTACAAGCAAGGTGACAGGACAAAAATCTCCTTGGGCTAATTAGTCTCCGTGGCCACTGGCTAACTGGCTAGAGTCAGAACAAATAGGCCACTATTTCAGTTCGCGATGCAAAGTAAATACTCCGTACAGCACTTCGCGATACGATATAGCACTTCTGCCGTTGAGCTGCAAGCGCAGAATGAGCCGAGGTTCGGCGCAAAAGTGCTAGCGCGTGTATTAGGAGAATTAGTTACTAAGCAAACGGCGAAGATTCACGTGGTACAGGATCAACAGACACTAATCAATATTAAGTCTAGTGCAATGAATCACATCTGACTAATCCGTTACCAACCCGCCGCTCCGACAGGCTTCCTATTGAAAAAGTAACTTCCAGCGGAGACAGAGGAACAGACACTGCTATTTCAACAATTCCCCCCGCCGGAAAACACCGTGTTCACTCCTTCTAGTCGCCCTAGAGCCATTCGGTACCGTGTATAAGGGAAACGGGCCCCTCGTTCCATTCCAATTCGGAAAATTGGTTCCCCGCGGTCATAGCTCTGGGCTTTTGTCCAATTCCTAGTATATATAATATACCGGAATAACAGGGAAATCAAACCCTACAAGTACAGGAGGGAAAGGAACAAAGGAAAGGGAGGCGGGCGAAAAAGCAAAAAACAGATAAGGGCGAAGGGCAACAACCCAGGAAGGGAGAAAAAAGAAATAAGAGGAAACCGGCACACCAAAAGCCTTAAAGAAGAGAAAAAATTTATTCACAATGCTCAGCGCCGTGCTCCGCAGACTCCAAGGCGGGAATCTTGAAGTGTTCAAGGTATGCCAGCTGCTACACTAACTGATATGCTAACTACCCATCTTCCTTCTCACTTACTAAACCAAACCAAAACCTAACACACAAAATCTCCAGTTCGGCATCTACATCCTCTTCCCCATCGGCTGGATGTACTATTTCGGTACGAACCTCGAAGAACGCTTCTCCGTCCCCGGTTTCTGGCCCACGAAGGAACAATCACACAAGATCCCCCTCGAGCTTGGTGATATTGAGAAGGAGCTGGCGCGCATGGATAAGCAGAAGGCGTTGCGGGCGGCGCAATTGCGGGGTGAGCGTGCAGTGGGGAGTGAAGGCGGTAGTGTCGCGGAGGGTTCGTGAGTTACATATTTCGAGCGTTGTATAACAAATGGGATATGAGGGATCAAAGAATGGAAGGAAGTGGGAGGTAAGGTGGCATATGGAGGGGTGTTAAAAGGGTTTTTTCCCCTTCCCTCGGGCCTGGCCCAGTTTCTGTGTATATATATACATAAGGGATATGATATTCTTTGGCAAAGCATCTTTTCTTCGGCATGGGATTAAAGGAGTTCGTTCTGGGATGGATGGATTGGCTTCTTGTTTCATTCCTTGGCTTCAATTTTGGAATGTGTTGTATTTATTGTGTACATATATATTAATTCTCCTCTTCGCAATTTTTCATTGATAATATCTGGCTTGAATGAGGTGTATAAGCAGCCAACGGACAAAACACATATGTGGTGCAAGGAGGCGGGGATATAGACGCAAAAACCGACACAATAACACCCGATCATTGAAGATATTAAATTAGTATAAAACTTGCCGCATGGAACGTAGACATTATGAGAGTGACCATAGATAGGCTAACAAGAAGAACAGAATAACATCCTCATCCTGAGAACGAACCATCGTATGCAACACGAGCCACGAAAACAAACACGCCATAAAAAAAAAAAAAAAAACACGCCTGCTATTTCCACGAGATCAAAACACCCGAACAACTCCAGTTAGTGTAGCCAGCAGCCATCTTAACTAAAATTAAAATAAAATATATATATATATTTTTTTTTACAAAACTAATTCATATGTCAAAGAAGATAACAACGAATTCCCATCACAGTCCCATCACAGACACAAACAACGCCCAAATTACAACTCCCCGCCAGCCACCTTCCCCGCCGTCGTCGCAGCCGTCTCAGCTACTTTCTTCGCAGTCTCCATTAGTGTTTCATACCCTTCCTGCTGCGCAGCAGATAGGGAGGTTTTGGCACTTGCTGCGGCGGCGGCGGTGGCGGAGGTAGAGACGTTGACGAAGGGGAAGTCTGTGAAAGCGTCACCTGCCCAGTAGTACCAGATGCGCTTGCTGACTGTGGTGACGTGGTCGGGGAGATAGACGTAGGCTGCTGTGAGGAGCATGGAGGTTATGAGGAGGAGGAGGGTGTCTAGGGCGTGCGCGGAGGGGGGTTGTTAGTTCGTTTGTGGCTCGGAGGATTTTTGTTTTTTGAAAGGGGGGGGGGGGGGGGGAGTAGACAAACGTACTGAAAACGAATTTCTCTATAGGGGTAAGCATGTAGAGGGAGATGGTGACTTCATATTGATAGTTTTTCAAACGGAGCCAGCGGATGAAGGACGTGATGATTGAGGGGGAGGAGGTTTGCGACATGGCTAACTTGGGTTGTAAGAAACGCACAGATTTTGGAGATATGGTGGAAACGGAGCAGACGGCCAACTGGGGGTTGTTGGCAAGAGGAGTTTCTCTTTTCGTTTTTTTTTTTTTTTTTTTTTTTTTTTTTTTTTTTTGAAGATTCGCAGTCGTAAGAGAAATTGTATGCAGGTTGGTTTCTGAAAATGGCGCGGTTTGTATCTAATCGTTCGGGAATGTCAATAGTCTGGCGGGATAGCCAACGTGATATTCCTGTCGATACGAGGAGGAACGGACGGATTGATCGTGGACGAACGGAGATATTATTACACAGCAACTAGAATTGAAAGTTGTGTTGTTGGACCAGAGAGAGAGACTGAAGAGAAATGATCCCAGGGGCAGCCAATCAGCAGCGAGAAATGTTTAAGGTTAGCGCAAGCGGCAGAAGTAGATCGCCCCCAAGAGTTTATTGTCACTTCTGATGCTCATATTTATATATAGTTATATATATATATCATATACTCCGTAAAACTGCAAAAATGGAGAAATGAAGGAAGATCAAGCAAGTTTCCCCACCAGTCACCTTGCTCACCAGGCTCCACCCCAATTACCAAGAGCATTGGGCACTTCTGTCACTCTACCAATATCAGAAGACTACCCAAATCATAATCTGCTTTGTAGTCTCAGCATAGTGCTGCCTTCAGCGTTGCGTGAAAGAATTCTGCAGCTGTTTTGCTATGCCACTACATTTGATTCTAGCAAGAGCTGCCCAGCAGTTCGAAATTTGAATGGCCGCATTCAGAGAAGTGGTTGGGACGTAAGGAGAGATTTTGGACACTGGAGATACACGGGGACCCGGGGTCAAGTTCATTTCGCGTCTCATTTGATAGTCCTTGTTTCGAAGGGTTTAATTCCTCCGAGCTCGTATCTTTTCTTTGCTGCTAAAGTCCTTCAAAGTCAATTTTACTAGCGTAAGATAAATGCAGTCCTTCTCATATCAGTGCTCCGCTAAGTATTTTATAAATGAAAGTATACATACCAATTCACGCACTATTTTTTAAATAGACCTAGTTAATTCTGAACTCTTCTTTACAGCTAAATCAGCCATTTCATTGCTATGAGTAGGAACTCAGTGTAAATGAGTTATTATTTTTGATTTTCTTCTCTTTTGAATTTTCATAACAGAATTCAAAATCAGTTCAAGATTCATTTAATTATTATAAATCTGACTATTTCTCAGTCTTTTTAGAGCAGCTTGATTGTTAAAAAATATTCATACTTTTTTTAAACTAGTTTCTGTAAGAGGTCTACACTGAATAGATCAGTATAATATATAGATCTTATAATACAAAAGTGAAAAACATTAGAGAAGAAAAGAAAGAGAAAGTGCAGAAATCAGTGATTGAAATAAATATTTATACATATACATAGTGAAGCTTCAGAGCAGAAAAATAGAGACTTTATATACATAGTAAAGCTTCAGAGTAGAAGAATAGAAATTTCATAAGTTTTTTAACTGAGAATCAGTGACTGAGAATCAGAGCTTTTAGTGAACTGAGAATCAGAGCTTTTAGTAGAATTTATAAAGTGTAATAAAATAGTTTATATAATTAATCAGATACAGTCTGTTATATTAACTCTCTGTTTTTACAGATGAGATTGTATATAGATCTTAAAAGATAATAGCTACTAGATTATCTTTTATAAGCTCTATTAATAATTCTCTTCTATTTAATAAACAAATGAGAGGTAGAAAACAATGTTCTGTAATTGATACTATTCTCTCAGTTATTCATGATATTCAAGTAGCAAAGCATGAAGGCCTGGTCTCAACTGCAGTTTTTATTGATATAAAAGATGCCTTTGATCATGTTTCAAAGTCTAAGATGATTCAATCTTTGAAGATGTTAAAACTGCCACTTTCTCTAATAAAATGAGTCAATTGTTTCATATCTAAAAGAATTATACAACTATTCTTTGATGGAAGAAAACAAGATAAAACTGAGATAAAAATAGAAGTATCACAAGAATCTTCAATCTCATCTGTTTTATTTGCAATATACACTGCATATCTATTCAAGAATAGAGAGATGAAAATAGTGAGATCTTCAAGTTATGTAGATGATATTGATCTACTCTACAGTTCAAAGACATTCAAAGAGAATTTAGAAGTAATTAAGAAAGCAGTAAAGAAAATCTTTATTAGAGCAGATATCAATTTAATTCAATTTGATATGAATAAAACTGAGCTAATTCACTTTTTTCTCAGGTTTAATGAGAAAGAACTAAGTCTAACTCTTTTGAATAAAGAGATTAAACTCTGTTTGAATGTCAAATGACTAGAAGTATGATTAAACTTCAAGTTGAATTTTAAATATCACATTCAACAAAGAATCATCAAGGCAGAGAGACTACTGAATAGTATAATCAGACTATCAAATACTGAGAGAGATCAATTCTTTCAGGCTATGAGACAGTTATACATAGCCTGTATTATCTCAGTAGCTGATTATGAAGTTCAAGTTTGATGAAACAATCAAGGAAACTTCACTGAACTCTTTCAAAGTCTATAAAACAGAGCTTTGAGAAGAATTCTGAGAGTATTCAAGTCATCTTCTATTAAAGCAATGGAAATTGAAGCTTCAATTCTACCTTCTGCTATTCAATTTGAAAAGGCCTGTATAAACTATGCTCTGAGAGTTATGAAGATGAGCTCAAATCATATAATCAGAAAAAGAGTCTCTTCTTCATTTTCATCAGTTAACTCAGAAAATGAACTGAATTGAAATAGATTTCTTGATTGAAATGAGAATAATACTTTAAAGAAAATGCCCTCTCAACTGTATAGACTATGTTCACTTATTAAGAATTAATTTTCTTCATTAAATGTTGAGAAAATTGATCATAAGAAGATATCTCTCTGAAGAGAAAAGCTGAAATCTCTCATAGACTTATAAATAAGTAAACTATCTAAAGAGAGAGAATATAAACAGTATTTGAAGAAGATCTCTACAATTAATATAAAAGACTCTATTCTGATTTACTCAGATAGCTCAAAAAATGAGAATTTGAATAGATTAGACACAGACATTGCTTATACTGAAGATAATATTAATTTTATCTCAGATTTCTGGAATTTAGGCTGTGAATCTGAAGTCTTTGATACTGAACTATTTATAATAGTGAAAGCTTTCAGACTCATTGAAATAAAATCTCATAAAAGAGGAAATGATTTGAAAGAGGCATGAATATTCTCTGATAGTCAAGCTACTTTAAAAAGACTTAGAAATAGTCAGATTCATAATGATCAAATGAATCTTGAACTGATTTTAAACTCTGTTTTGAAAATTCAAAAGAGAAGAATATCAAAACTGATAATTCATCTGCATTGAGTTCCTGCTTATATGAAGATTCATGGCAATGAATTGGCTGATTCAGCTGCAAAAAAGGGTTCAGAATTAAGCAGATCTATTCAAAAAACAGTGTTCTGATCTTTCATAAAGAGAAAGATAAAAGAATCTTGTTTAAACAAGTGAAATGAAAGCTGGCAGAAACAAAAGAAGAGTATACATTATTCAAGATTTGAGACAAAATCAAAGTGGAAATCTTGTTCAATTAAATGTAAAAAGAAAATATTCTCATCTATAATTTAGCTGAAACTAGAACATGATTATTTCAAATCTTATATACAAAGATTTGATGATAGATTTGACTCAACAGAGTGCTCATTCTGCAATGTGAATGAAAATCCTGAGTATATTGTAATGCATTGTGCATTATACAATAGTCTCAGAGTCAGATTAAAGAAAAAGTATGATTTAAATCAATTAAATTTGAGGTTCTTATTCTCAACTGAGACAGGAACTAAATACTTAATAGACTTTCTATCAGAAACTAGAGCAGCTATAAGAAAATAGCTGAATTCAGAAGTATCTGAATATGAAGAGGTGAAAATTAACTATATATAGTCTGTTAAAACAGCTATACATCATCTTTTAATAATTTTATTTTGTTATAGTCTCTCTTTACTGTACTTGTTTCCTTCTGTTCTTTTCTCTATCTATTTAATATGTCTATCTTTAAGACTATGTTCTCTTTTCTTTTGTCATAATATTTTCAAATGATTTCAAACTATCAGAAGGTGTTGAAATACTGCAATTTGTAAACAGTTTTTGTATTCTGAGCTGAAATTTTCTGATTTTGCATATTTGAAATTAATAAATGTATAATAGTTGACTCTATAGATATAGGAAAAACTCTGAGAACTAAAGATTCTCAGATAGATGT